GTGTCCCAACTGTACCACTTCTGATCCAGCTCCCTGCTAACAGCCTGGGAAAGATAGTGGAAGATGGCCCAAGGGTTTGAACCCCTATACCAATGTAGGGGTCGTGGAAGAAGCTCCTGGCTCCTGTCTTCAGCCTGGCCCAGCCCTGGCCATTGCTGCCATCGGGGAGTGAGCCAGTGGACAGAAGATCTTGGTCTCTCCCTTTCTTTATGTAATCCTGACTTTCAAATAAATAATCTTAAGAAAACAAAAATGCCAGCCTGGGTATTTTTTTTTTAAGATTTATTTGAAAGGCAGAATTACAGAGAGATTCATTCCCCAAGTGGCCACAACAGCCAGAGCTGGGCTGATCTGAAGCCAGAAGCCTGGAGCTTCATCTGGGTCTCCCACATGGGTGCAGGGGCCCGAGGACCTGGGCCATCTTCTGCTGTTTTCTCAGATCCATTAGCAGGGAGCTGGATTAGAAGTAGAGCAACCTTGACTTGAACCGATGCACATTTGGGATGCTGGCACTGCAGGCAGCAGCTTTACCAGCTATGCCACAGCACCAGCACCCCAGTCTGGGTCTTTGCTCTAAATTTCATTAAGGCAATAGGGAAGAATAAGCCTCATAAAATGGATTAGAACAGCAGGAAACAAAAAATAAACTTTCTTTGCATCTTTTAAGAACTGCTTTTGTCAACACATCTGATCAGTATCCAGATATAATACAGAAAAAGGTCTGAAAACATGAACCTGTAATTTTTCCTTTTGGACAGGACTTAGATGGGATTGGGGAGCCTTTTATTTATTTATTTTTTAATCTTCCTTTTTTTGACAGGCAGAGTGGACAGTGAGAGAGAGAGACAGAGAGAAAGGTCTTCCTTTTGCCGTTGGTTCACCCTCCAATGGCCGCCGCACCGCACTGATCCGAAGGCAGGAGCCAGGTGCTTCTCCTGGTCTCCCTTGGGGTGCAGGGCCCAAGCACTTGGGCCATCCTCCACTGCACTCCCGGGCCACAGCAGAGAGCTGGCCTGGAAGAGGGGCAACCGGGACAGAATCCAGCGCCCCGACCAGGACTAGAACCCGGGGTGCCAGCGCCGTAAATAATTCTTAAAAAAAAAAGAGAGAATGTGGCTTTGCTGATACTGAGCTTGATTCAAAAACCAAAAGAAATTTATGTCTCTGGACAGTCAGATGTCTACATTTAAATTCTTCCAAGAAGGTGTAGTAAACCTGAATACAGCAGAGCAATGGCAAGGACTGCTGCCTTGATCCCTAACACATCTCTGAGCATGTGAGTGGCAGCAGCGCCCCCTAGAGGGAACTCAGGGGCCAGGAAGAGCCTCACACAGTGTCCCCAGCACTCCATTCAGCCAAGCTAAGCCAATCGCTGGCTCAACCATTCAGGGAACACACTTGAGATGTCCTTCCAATGACTGCTTACTAACCGTTCAACACTGCAATTATACTTAAGATGCATTTCTGGCTTGATAAGCTATGGAAACAATGACATTCCTTCAAAATCAACAATACAGCTGCAATGGGGTCAGAGGGTGGAAAACTGTTTATGATTAACTCAGAGGAGCTGAAGGATGCTACAAAGGCCAAATTTCTAGCTGGAAAATACTGAGCAATGATTTCACCCCCTTGGCTTTTCCTCGTATCTAGAAGTGAGCATTTTCTCTCAATCAGCCATGTGGTAAATATCCAAGGAGACAACAGGTGTGAAAGGCAATGCCCCGCAGAAACACTTGGGAAGTGGGGTGGGCATTTGGCACAGTGGTGAAGTTGCTGCTTGGTATGTCCACTTCCCATATGAGTGATTGATTCCAGCCGCAGCTCCTTCGCTTCCGTTCCAGCTTCCTGCTAATACACACCCTGGGAGGCAACCAGCGACAGCTGAAGTACTTGGGTCCCTGCCACCTATGTGGGAGACCAGATCCAGGAACTCAGTCTGGTCTCTCAGGTGTGCCACATGCTCCAGTGCTTGAGCCATCCATCACCTGCTGCCTTCCATGGTGCTGTTCCCGATGGTTCAATTCACCAAGACTTGCTTGCGTATTATACAGTCACTGGAGAGAACCAAATCCTACTGACTAAAAGCTTACCAAATCCATACCCACCTGCCACAGTGCAGGCCTCAGCACCTCCCTCCACCCCCAACCCTTCCCCACCAAATGTTTGGGATAAAAGCTAGGAATGAAAGCCCTGTATTTTCGTGAGCAAGTCTATAACAAGACATGGCCTGTGAGTTTTCAAAAACCCCACCGGTGGGCCACACTGGCCAGCAGGCAAGGAGTCTTTGTGAGAGAGCCTCTTGGAAACCCAGGGTAGCCTGACTTTGGAGAGGCACAACTGGGGCACAAGTGACCTTAAGGACGCCAACAGCCCCTTCCCCTGGCACCCCTTCACAGCCCCTCCTAGGAGGCAAACATTTGCACTACGGCCCAGGGACCAATATGCAAAAGGGCGCATACTCTTCTAAACTGTTTTAAACAAGAGAAATAAACTAAAAGCAAAAGGCCAATTAACAGAATATATTATTTCTTTTCTGAAACAGGGAACTTGCGCTGAATGTCTGCTATGAGGCACACTCAACGCTGGGATGCTTCTCTCTGTACAAGTGAAAACTACAGCCTGCTGGGACATGAGGAGCCTGAATCCACGCCAACTTCTGCCTCACATACTTCAGTGCGAGGGAATTTCACAGGCCACTTTCCTCAGCTCCTAGCCTTCCCTCCCCACAACAGCAAAGTAGGAAGTTACTATGACACAACCATCTTTTTAAAAGTCTTCTGGGTTAGGAAGTGACGTTCACTGCGTAATAGGGCTGTCCTGTTTCATTTTTAAAAAGGAATTTTGATTTTTCAATTTAAAAGGCAGAGAGAGAGAACTCCTGTCAGCCAGTAAACTCCCCAAGTACCTAAAACAGCTGGAGCTTGGTTAGGCTAAACAGCCGGGAACTGCAAATTCACTCCAGGTCTCCCACATGGTAGCAGAGACCCAAATACTCAAGTCATCACTGCTGCCTCCTAGGGTGTACATTTGCAGGAATCAGGAACTGGGAACACAACCAGGACTTGAACCCAGGCTCTCCAACACAGGATGTGGGACTCTCAAATGGTACTTTATTGCTGTGCCAAATGCCTTCCCCTGATTTCATTTTTAAAAGTATGTGAAAGGCCAAACAATACATGGGGAGATAGATGTCTTCTATTTGGTGTTTCACTCCCCAAATGCCTTCAATAGCCAAGACTGGGCCAGGCCAAAGTCAGGAGCCAGAAACTCAATCTAGGTCTCAAACATGGGTAGCAGGGACTCAAGCACTTGGGCCATTACCTGTGGCCTCCCAGAGCGTGCACTAGCAGGGAGCTGGATCATAAACACAGCAGCTGGGAGGTAAAGCAGGCATTCTGGTAAGAGATGAGGAAATCCCAGGCAGAGAAGTCTGCCCCTCATTTCATTTTCTTAACAGCTGCAGTTTTAAAAACTTTTATTTGAACAAGAGTGAGCCTAGAAAGTGGGCTTTTAGCCCTGCCAGGCAGTTTGAAGCAGGTCAGTGCTTTGAACTGATTTACATCTTAGGAACTTCACTCCAACAGCTGTGTAGAGAGACTCAAGTATGGTGAGGGAAGAGCAGTTATAAAACTGATGCAAAAGTAGTTCAGCCTAAATGTTAGGGGTCTGAACTGAAGGATGGAGTGGAGGAGGGCTCCAAGACAATATTAAACAGAATTAAAACGGCTGCTGACTTAAGAGAATGCTTGAGGGGAGTTCCAGCTAGGCTGATGAAGTGCCAGCCACTGATCTTTCCAACTAGGAGTGAATGGTAAGAAAAATGGATCCTCCTCATGGTAGGGAATGTTGGGATCAGTTAGGGATGGTAGCCTGAAGGGCCTGTGGGGATGTCCAGCATTTATCTGAGGCCCAAGACATAGTATGAAGACGTCTGGAAGTGGTAAGACAGAAATCACAAGTGGTCAAGATGACACAAGCCTTGTGAAGCTGGGGAACAGCAAACTGAGGGAATCCAGGGGAGGCTGAGCAGTGGCAGAGGCCCATGCAGCCCCACTAAGAAGGGTGCACAGCACAGGGCAGGCTCATCTCAAGGGAACAGGTACCACCACCAGAGGCTACAAATGTCACTTACAAGGACTAAACGGGGTCTAGTATATTTAATAACTAGGAATTCATTGGTGATGTTGGCAGGAGTTTTTAATGACACGTTCAAGGCAGTGGCAACATGACAAAAAAGAGAGAGAGAGGGAGAAAAGCTACATCTCCTCCTTTCCCAAGTGTTTGGTGCAATGATTGCAATGCCTGCCCTCCACATCAGAGGGCCTGGGTTCTAGTCCCAGCTCTGCTTCCAATTCCAGCTTCCTGCTAATGTGCAGTCTGGGAGGCAGCAGGTGATGGCTCAAGCACTTGTACCCCTTATGTCTTTCAGGGGATTAAAAACAAAGTCTATCCTTAATATTACAAGAATGCTCTCTGAAAACCTTCAACCTACTCTTTTATGCTGTACTGATCTAAAGAAAGAATGGAAGTTTAGAAAAGGGAAAAATGGACATAAAAAAAAGTTTATTTCTAGCCTTGAAAGAACATAATTACTGAATGAAGTCATCAAACACAGCAGTTACTTTCAATGTAACAATTAAATAATTGAATGGGATCAAGTTAAAAATAAAAGGTGATTTAAAATTTGAAGAAAAACCAGAAAAGATAAGCTACTTTCACTTAATTACATTTCTATCTACTAAAACAAACAAAAAAGTAAACACATTAAAACAAAAAGATGTTGAACTCAAAATATAATTGGTTTTCTCAGTACAGAATGAAAACTTGCTTTGTTGGACAGAATTATCCTACATTTCTTCCTGCCTCTTATCTTAGCAATATTCTAGATTGATGAAAAAGGAAGACTCTTCAGCTCTTTCAAGGCCAGACCACTGCGATTCTTCTCTTGGTAATGCCAACACCTACCATAGCATCTCTGCCAGAGTGTTCAACAAATGTGCTGAGAGGAAAAAAATGTGTGTTTTATTTAATTCATATACACATATACACACTGTGCAAAAACTGATATTAAATGTTTAAATATCTATCGCGGGAGCAGTGGAAGACCATCTGCTTTTTATATTACTATGAAATTCTATCATAAAAAACAAAATGAATATTAATCTGGATTTTAGCTATAACCTATAATATTATTTTGACATTTCACTGGATATGGATCTCAGTATATTTAAAGCATTTTAGATTTAAAAAATTGATGCAAATTCTTTAAGCACTTGTTTTTTTCTTACTGTAGCTACTGCCTGATAACATCTAAAATTATATAATATATACAAACACACATGTATTTAAGGGAGTCATACAAAGAAATACTTACAGGTAGTTTAAATGGCTTGTTAAAGGCACAGGTTTGTTTAGGACTGGTGGTTCCTAGATACATTTTTTAAGCAGTTTAATATTCATGTTGAAGGGAAGTCAGACTATGTGCCAGGTGCCCAACACATGAAGACAGAGTTGTGTCAGCCTTGAGGTCATGTTACATAATCACTCTACTTGTTTACTACTGTAGGTAGCATAAAATGTTCCAATATTGTCATGGTTTCCCAGTTTTTAGCTGTCCCTTAAAGCAGCACAAGGAACAAGAGTAGAAGATAACTTAAAGACCACCAGAGAGGTTAAAATATCATAAATAAGTATTACAGTAATATTGCCCTAGTAATACAAGATGACTAACGTAATTTTCAGATTTAAATGGGAATTTTCACCCTGAAGTGGTGACAAAAAAAGATGAATATAAAAAGCAATTATTAAAAAACAAGAATCTTGATTCAGATACAGTAGTTCTTTCAAGAAGATCTGAACATTTTAATTTAAAATAACTAATAAATCACAATTTCATATTGCTTTCAGGATTATTTTGTTTAAAAATGACACATTTCAGAATTTACTAAAGTATACTTCTATTACAGGTTAGTTTATCCAGGTAAGTAAAGAATACACCACAGTGTAGCTCCCTTAACCAAGGAGTCAGATTTCAAAGTCCGTTGCCAGCAATGGACGTGCAGGTAACCATCCGAGAGGCTGTAAATACAAATCCCAAACTGCTTCCACCGTCTGAAAGGCCCTTTGTTGCACCACAAGCATAAACTGGGGCCCTGGCACAGATTCGAGGGAAAAAGTCCTTATGACTTAGGATGGGAAGCGCCTTCTTAAGTGGTCATGATGATCAGTCTCATCATCTAGTCGGTGTTTTCTCTCTCTCTCATTGGCAGCATCTTCATCATGATCCATCCATCCAATCGTCTACAAAGAGTGCTCAAATCTGGAAGTTAAGGGGCACTGTAGCTTTCCACCAGAAATAAACCAGCTTGTTTCTATAATTTAGTAAGAGCTGTAGAAGGCCAATATAGTCCAGAGAAAAATGCAATCAAGAACCATACTGGTATCAGAGATCATTAAGTGCTCTATATAAAAGTTTCATTAATTATTTTACTCATTTTTCTGAAAATCTTTCTGTGGTATCAACACAAAATAGTCATTCTACACTGATATCTGTGTCTTAACACAGATACGACGGGAATAACAGGAAATAAAACTCTGCTGGTTTTCCAATATACTACAAAACAGCATACTTATTTTCATTAATGATTTGTACTATTGCAGGATGGCAAGCAGGTGTGAATTTCACTGGGAGGGCATGGTGGGAACAAAATACCAGAACTCAACCGAAGACTTTTTTATGTGGTTCAAGGCATGTCAGAGTAGACCATTCCTCACCCAAAAGCCAAACAACCGAGAAATGAGGAGAGAAGAACAGGAGAGTAAAGCACAGAAGGGAAGGGGAGGAAGGGGCATTCTCATAATTAACAGGTCACAGACCTTTTCTTAATCTTTAAAATAAAAAAGGATTCCTATCAATACCGCATTTTTCTTTTCCTCAGATTTTTACATGAATATTCTCTACTTCTCTGAAAAAAAAAAAAAATACTAAAGTAATTCCACATCTCCAATGATCCGTGAATCCACCAAGAACCTTCTCATTTAAGTTCTCTTACACAGTAACACACTGGTAATGTGTTAGAATCACTCTAACTTATGACAGCCTTTACAGTTTACTCGTCATCATTTGGAACTCTGTAATACTGACATTTCTCTCTCATGAATACAGTCTCAACTAATTATTCTACAACTCACTAAAGTTCAATCTCTCACTTTGTCTCTGCTAACCCCAAATATTTTTCCCTTTAAGTGGAAAACAAAAGTTAATTTTCAAATTCTGAAAATTCAATGATTATTACAGAGTAGGATGTGGTATGAACAGGATATGTAAGGTGAGAGGGTTACATAAAAACAAAAACAAAAAAACTAAACCTAAAATTGCAACATATACAGAAACTTATTTCCAAAATGAAAGAGGAAAGGAGGAAAGGAAAGGTAATGGCACTAACCAGTCATAAAGCCCAAGCTGGAACAAGAAAAATCACTTTGGTTCCTCCTCAAGCCAAATCTGAAGAGGAGAAAGGCAGAAAGGAAGACAAAACCGTCAGGGTGTACAGTCGCCGGGATTCTTTTTTGTCTCAGTGATTTAGTTATAAATATAGATTAGTCTTCTTTCTATACATGTAACAAACTCCAAACTCACCACCATGAGATTTCTCAAAGTGACCCTTTCACATTTGTTAAAAAGGTAAAAATCACATACTTTTCTTCCCTTCTTTCAGTTCAAGTTCTGAACTGAAATATTCCATGAAACCATTGCTGGTCCTAACTTCTATACAAAGTTAAACTATGCTGAGCTCCTTTGCCAATGAGGAGCTGCACAATTTCTATCATACTTGCCTTGAATTCAGGCACGACAAAAAGTTCTCAAAGCAACTCAAAAGGAGCAAGTCGAGGAAAAGGAGAGCTCTGAAGGAGAGAGAAGACCAGCAGGTGAAACAAATATGCTGAAAAACTCGAATCTGCCCTTCAAGTATTGAAAACACCCCAAAGGGGACAAGAATGGGATCTATTCCAACAAAGTTAGCAAAATAAAATGCAAATCTCAAGCATAAGGAACAGCCCTGACGGCTGTCTGCTGAAAGATGTAAGGCGAGTGACTCAGTCCACAATTCCTTTGGACCCTAAAGAAGGGGTTCATCTGAAAGTCATGATTCTCTTTTTGCAATTTTGTCTTAGTTGTCTTCAAGAAATAGTAGCTTTGTTTTTCCTCCATTATTCAGACCATTTCTTTAAACCCCGAAAAGAGCAGTAACTTTCATATATTAAAAGACTTCTTTTAGGAAATGGACAAAGGAACATGAGGCCACGGCACTGATGTTAGCGGTTACTCTTCATTGCTTCTTTAGCTGCCATGATGAGTGGTGTCAAGCTGGATAATGGTTTGGCCAGTTTCAGGAAGGGATGCTGCCAGAAAAGGGGAGAAACAAACAGGTAAATGCTATCAGCTTAGAAACAAAATGTTTCCTTTCAACTAATCCCCAAAGACTACTTATGAATCATGGTTTATTTGTTAAAGTATCCCCACAAGTCAATATCCATATGAAACCAACATAATCAGTACAACACCTAAAGCTGAAAGCAACCACTTTACTTTTCCTAATATAAATCTATAGTTAAGGCCACAGACATATCCAGGCCAGCAGTGAACAGGCCTGAAAACTGACAGTATGCAAAAACTCATTATGATGTTACAGATTTTTATTCCCAGAAGGAGCCCTAAAATGCAGTTACCACACCAAGGTGATCAATACATAGTGAAATACAATGATTTGCCACCCTATGAAAACCTTCTCTAGATTACTCAAAACACAAAGGCAACTAAATTTTCCAAAAATGACATCATTTCCAAATTACCTGCAGCAGTTCTTTGGCTGAACCTCTCTTCTCCACATCCATTTCCAAACATCGATTTAAGAAATCCCGAAATATGGGGGAAAGCTTCTCTGGATTCTGAAGTTCTGGGGTTCCATTAGTTGCTATCAGGTACAAGGCCTAAAAATGGAAGAACATTTTTACACACTTATGATAGTGCAACAAACTGACAGATCACTTTACAAAGTTTGTGGATCTCTTAATTCTTTAAAAACAAACATCAACATCAAAGTGAGGTTATCATTTTTACTCATTTGGTTCTGAAATTTTTCCTTTTTCATTTTATGTACTTTTTAAAAAGATTTATTTACTTATTTGAAAGTCAGAATTACAGAGACAGGAGACATAGAGAGAGTGAGCAAGAGCTTCCAATTGTTTGTTCACTCCCCAAATGGCTGCAGCGGCAGGAACTGAGCCAGTCTGAAGCCAAGAGCCAGAAGCTTCTTCCAAGTATTCGGGCCATCTTCTGCTGCCTTCCCAGGTGTGTAAGCAGGGAGCAGGATCAGAAGTGGAGCAGCCAGGACTCGAACCAGTACCCATATGGGATGCCAGCACTGCAGGTGGCGGCTCCACCCACTACACCACAGCACTGGCCCCGCAAAATTATTTTAATGGTTAAATCAAACAGTATCTTATGTTCTCTATTATAATCAATAGCCTTTAGAAAATTCTTGTATTCTTTATGTACTTCTTTATTTCCTATAAATTTCTAGAAATGAAATTATTACTTTTTGATTAACTGTTATTTAAGAAGTTTTAGGTTTGTAGAAATTGGAATTGAAGCCTGATTATTTCTACATCCCTATAGATATCCTTTCTCACCAGGCAGTCATTCTTTGAACACCTGGTTTGTGTAGCTACCAAGGCCACTATATATACTATATACAGACACAAGAAGAACTTTAACTTATGTCATAGCACCAGCCCGAAGTTTAACAGAGTCTGGAACTTAATCCAGGTTTCCCAGGTAGGTGGCAGGAACCCAACTACTTGAACCGTCATCTGCTGCCTCCCAGGGTGCATATTAGATGGAAGCTAGATCCACAAGCAAAGCAGGGACTCAGCCCAAGCACTCTGATAAGAGATGTGGGTACCAAGCAGTATCTTCATTGCTGCATCCAATACCCTCCTGAGTCCTCATCTCAATGGCCGTAACTGCAGTTTCTGACAAGCTTACTTTCTTTATACAGGTTCCAGGGCATATATTTATTTGGCTTTTCCTCCCTTTCCAGCCATTCCTTCTTTCTTTCTTTGACAGGCAGAGTGGACAGTGAGAGAGAGAGACAGAAAGGTCTTCCTTTGCCGTTGGTTCACCCTCCAATGGCCGCCGCGGCTGGCGCACCGTGTTGATCCGATGGCAGGAGCCAGGTACTTATCCTGGTCTCCCATGGGGTGCAGGGCCCAAGCACTTGGGCCATCCTCCACTGCACTCCCTGGCCATAGCAGAGAGCTGGCCTGGAAGGGGGGCAACCGGGACAGAATCCGGTGCCCGACCGGGACTAGAACCCGGTGTGCCAGAGCCCCAAGGCGGAGGATTAGCCTAGTGAGCAGCGGCGCCGGCCTCCAGCCATTCTTTCTTAGTCTGCTTTGTTGGTCTGCATCATCAACTTTTAGCTACTCACATGACCTGGTGATCTCATCTGGATTCACAGCTTTGGATAATAACTATCACTAAGGCACCATGATTTTATACCTGAAATTCTAGCCTGGATTCCAGATTTGCATACCCAATAATCTATTCAGCATATTCACTTGGATGACTTAAGAGGCACCTAAAATTTAGTGACTCTAAGACACGTTAAAATGTTATCTACTGATATCCCACCTACCAACCAGATCCCCTACTCTTACTGCATGCAATTGTGGTCATCTCAGTTATGGAAATCTTCTGTTTTTTTTTTTTTTTTTTTTTTTTTTTTTTTTTTAATGTATTTATTTATTTATTTGAGAGTCAGAGTTACACAGAGAGAGGAGAGGCAGACAGAGAGAGACAGAGTTCTTCCATCCACTGTTCACTCCCCAATTGGCCACAATGGTCGGACTTGCGCGGATCCGAAACCAGGATCCAGGAGCTTCTTCCAGGTCTCCCACGTGGGTGCAGGGGCCCAAGGACTTGGGCCATTTTCTACTGCTTTCCCAGGCCATAGCAGAGAGCTGGATTGGAAGTGGAGCTGCTGGGACTTGAACCAGCGCCCATATGGGATGCTGGGACTGCAGGCGGCAGCTTTACCTGCTATGTCACAGCGCCAGCCCCTGTAGCCTCTCCTTTCAAAAAACATCCAGAATTCAACTCACTTTTTACCACCTCCACTGATATGACTGTGGTCTAAGCTACCATCATTTCTTATTTCTTGCCTGAGTTTTTTTTTAAACAAAGATTTTTTTATTTACTTGAGAGGTAGAGCTACAGAGAGAGAGGGAGAGAGAGAGAGAGAAGGTCTTCCATCCACTGGTTCACTCCCCAAATGGCCACAATGGCTAGAGCTGGGCCAGTCTGAAGCCAGGAGCCAAAAGCTTCTTCCAGGTCTCCCACGCTGGTGCAGCGCCCCAAGCATTTGGGCCATCTTCCACTGCTTTCCCAGGCCATAGCAGGGAGCTGGATCAGAAGAGAAGCAGCTGGGACTCGAACCAGAGCCCATGTAGGATGCTGGTGCTGCAGATGGAGGTATAGCCCACTACTCCACAGCACGGGCCCCGCTTGCCTGAATTATCTCAACAGCCTTTTAACTGGTCTTCATACTTTTCCCTTTGCTTGGATAATCTCTTCTCAACAAAGTAGGCAGAGATCCTGTTAAAACGTTTGACAATTTTATTCCTCCACTTAAAACTTTCCAATAGTTTCCCCAAGTTACGTAGAGAAAAAGCCATCATCTTTCCAAAGGCCTTATAAGGCACTTAACAGTCTAACCTACCTTACAACCTGCTGTTTTCAGGATGTAATCTAGCTGTGCTGAAATCTTCAATGATCCTTGGATACACGAGGAACACTGCTGCTTTAGAGCTCATACCTGCTGTTTCTTTGCTTGGAATGCTCTTCCACCAGGTACGTACCATCTCTTACCTCTCGTGTCCACACGTCACCTCAGTGAAGCCTTCCACAGCACCCCTCTGAAAGCAAACACCCTGACCTCTCAAGCGAGACCATCACTGAACTTGTCACATATTATTCTTATTTATTTTGTTGTCTCTCCCCTCTAACTAGAATTTAAGTTCCATGAGGACAAAACTTTTGTTGGTTCTTTTAGGCAGCACCTTGAATACTGCCTGGTATAAGACAGACACTCCATTAAATACTGGCTAACTAAAGAATGAAAGTAAAGGGGTTTGAAAAATTGTTTTGAGGGGCTAGGGCTGTGGTGTAGTGGGTAAAACTGCCACCTGCAGTGCCTGCATCCCATATGAGCACCAGTTAAAGTCCCAGCTGCTCCTCTTCCAAACCAGCTCCCTGTTAACGTGCCTGGGAAAGCAGCAAAGATGGCCCAAGTCCTTGGGCCTCTGCATCCATGTGGGAGACCCAGAAGAAGCTCCAGGCTCCTGCCTTTGGATCAGCCCAGTTCCAGCCACTGTGGCCATTTGAGGAGTGAACCAGCAGATGGAAGACCTTTCTCTCTCTCTGGCTCTCAAATAAATAAATCTTTTAAAAAAATGTTCTGAAAAGTACTCTAAATTAATTACCTCTACAAAAAGTACTTGGCTGCTCACTTCAACTAAAAGCTCTGGCAATAGGGTAAGTTTTTTTTTAAGATTTTTATTTATTTATTTGAGAGGCAGAGTTAGAGACAGTGAGAGGGGAGTCAGAGAGACAGGTCTTCCTTCCGTTGGTTCTCTTCCCATATGGCCACAACGGCTGGAACTGTGCCGATCTAAAGCCAGGAGCTGGGAGCCTCTTCCTGGTCTCCTATGTGGGTGCAGGAGCGCAAGCACTTGGGCCATCCTCCACTACCTCCCCACGCCGCAGGTGGAGGATTAACCACGGCACTGACCCCAAGCAATAGGATAAGTTTAAGAAAAAGTGTGTTCAAATCCAATGCCATCTGCTTTCTTGCTTCTCTCACCTAGCATAATACTTTAAGGTTCAATGTTGTGGGGCCAGCGTTGTGGCGCAGTGGGTTAAAGCCCTGGTCTGAAGCACCGGCATACCATATGGGCACCGGTTCTAGTCCCAGCTGCTCCTCTTCCCATCCAGCTCCCTGCTATGGCCTGGGAAAGCAGTGGAAGATGGTCCAAGTCCTTGGGCCCCCACACCTGCGTGGGAGAACCAGAGGAAGCTCCTGGCTCCTGGCTTTGGATCAATGCAGCTCCAGCCATTGTGGCCATCTGGGGAGTGAATCAGCGGATCGAAGACCTCTTTGTCTCTGCCTCTCCTCTGTGTAACTCTTTCAAACAAATAAAATAAATCTTAAAAAAAAAAAAAAAAGGTTCAATGTTGTAACATGTACAGGAACATCCTGCCTTTTATGGCTGAATAATATTCCACTGTTAAGCAACGTAACAGACATTTGAGTTGTTCCCACTTTTTAGCTACTAGAAATAATGCTGCAATGAACATTCAAGTGCAACTCTTTGTATGCGTGTATGCTTTTAACTCTCTTTGCTATACATCTAGCAGTGGAACTGGTGAAAGTGCAAGGTTGTATGGTAACTCAACATTAACCTTTTGAGGAACTGTTAAATTGTTTTCCAAAGCACGGGTACCATTTTATATATAAGAGAGTCTCTAGACTCTCACCAATACTTACATCTGTACTTTTTATTATAGCAATTATAGTAAGTGTGAAATGGTTAGCTTGTGTCTAAAATAAAAATTTATGGGAGTTGGCATTGTTGGCATAACGGGTTAATCCACCAACTGTGATACCCGCATCCCACATGGGCACCAGTTTGAGTCCCGACTATTCTGGCCTGGGAAGGCAGCAGATGATAGCCCAAGTACTTGGACCCCTGCCACCCATGGGGGAGACCCGCATGGGAGTTTCAGGCTCTTGGCTTTGGCCCGGCCCAGCCCTGGCTGCTTCAGTCATTTGAGGAGTGAATCAGAAAATGAAAGATTTCTCTTAACACCACTTTTCAAATAAATAAACTCTTTAAAGAAATTTATTTACTTTTATTTATTTGAAAGGGGATGGGAAAGGGAGAGAGAGATATCTCCCATTTGCTGATTCATTCCCCAAATGCCCACAACAGTCAGAGCAGGGCCAGGCAGAAGCTAGGAGCCTGGAACTCAATCTATCTCTGCCATGTGGATGACAAGGACCTAACTACTTGAATCATCACATGCTGTCTCCCTGGATCTGCATTAGCAGGAAACTGGAATCGTAGCAGACCTGGAGCTTGAATGCAGGCAATAATATGAGATGTAGGGGTCCATGTGGAGTCCTAAGCAGTGTGCCAAACACCTGTCCCCATACTTGGTAGTTTAAAAGTGGTAAGGGAGCCAGCGCCACGGCTCAATAGGCTAATCCTCCACCTTGCGGCGCCAGCACACCGGGTTCTAGTCCCGGTCTGGGCACCGGATTCTGTCCCGGTTGCTCCCCTTCCAGGCCAGCTCTCTGCTGTGGCCCGGGACTGCAGTGGAGGATGGCCCAGGTCCTTGGGCCCTGCACCCCATGGGAGACCAGGAGAAGCACCTGGCCCCTGGCTTCAGATCAGTGCGATGCGCCGGCCGCAGTGCACTGGCCACAGCGGCCATTGGAGGGTGAACCAATGGCAAAAGGAAGACCTTTCTCTCTGTCTCTCTCTCTCACTGTCCACTCTGTCAAAAAAAAAAAAAAAAAGTGGTAAGGGTAGAAAAATTTTAAATCAGGGTGAAGGAGGTAGAAACTGAGACTTCTAAACTCTGTAGTTCAGCTGCTGGGATTGTTCACTGTTCAAAGTCTATGGTTCTCATGATCCTCGCTCTGATGTGAATATAGGTCTTCACATTATCACTTACACAGCTTTCTCGGAGGTGGGATCTGTTTTTCCTTTCCTCTGTATCTTGTGACCAAGGTTCAAAGTCGATAAGTTGATGAGTATTTCTAGGTTATCCAATAGTACAGAAAAAGGTACTTACTTAGGGTATCTCCACTCTGTGGCTAAGGAACTATATACTCACTTACATGCAAAATAAGAAACCACACAGCTTACTACGAAAAATCCACAAACTCCGTAACATATTCAATTCCATAACTCAGAAGCAAATGAGTTTTAGATGAAAAGTAAGGGCAGTGACTGGGTTTTATTAACTTTCTATCCTAAATTTTTGGCCACCAATTGGTACAAGTTATAACTAAATGATTTACAGGGTATTTTTCATACAACAAGGCAAGTATTTAATCGGCCTTACCCTCAAGGGATTTTCATTGAGGTATGGAGGTTCTCCTTCTACCATCTCAATAGCCATGATGCCCAGAGACCATATGTCGACTTTAGGGCCATATGCTTTCCGTGTAACCACCTCGGGTGCCATCCAGTAAGGCGTTCCAACCATGGTACTGCGTTTACTCTGCTCAGGGGTGATCTGGGCACAGAAACCAAAGTCAGCTATAAAACAAAACAACATTATCTAGAGTTAATGGTTTCCACGGATGCTTTATCAAGAGTTCATTTCAGTAATTAATAACATTTTGATTTACCAAAGTAACATTTTGTTTTCTAAGGTTTTATTAATACAAGTTGAGTGTCCCTAAACAAAAATCCAAAAACCAAAACGCAATGGGTATCAAGATGACACAGAGTTTTGGATTTTGAAGCATTTACGATTTGGGATTTTCAGATTAGGGCTGTTCAACCAGTGAACTCTATGTAAATATTCCAAAGTCTGAAATGTTCGACAATCTAAAACACTTCTGGTCCCAAATACTTCAGATAAGTAATACTAAACCTGTAAGGTAAACCAATCATCCCGTATAACTTTTATTCCCACAACAGAGTACAAATTATCAGAAAGTCATTTGCTAATTTTAATTGTAGCCCATGAAGCTTAAAAATAATGAAAGAGTTCTAAAAGAAAAAGTCATCAAAGGTAACATCAAAAACTAAACACAATGAATCTGGAAAAAGTTAGGATATGCAAATTACATAAACAGATAAACAGAAGCTAGAATTACTAAATATTCAACTTAGTAGAGAGAATAGGAAAAGAACATGTAAGGCCCTCACCTAGTATTAATCTACTCTCACCTAGTATTAATCTATGTCATTTTGTAACTGAGGAGTAGGAAGACTACTCTAGTATCTGACGTTAATTTTTTGGAAAATCACAATTAAAATTTTTTAAACTTTTCATTTCAGGACAGTCTTAAATTTATAAAACAAAAAGTAGTACAAAGAATTCCTATAAACTCCACACTCCGATTCTCCTGTTAACATCTCATATTAGCACACTTGTCACAATCTATAAACCACACTGAGCTTCCATTATTGACATCTCATATCAGTGTGTCATAACTAATAAACCACACCCAGTTTCTCCTCTTTTTGTTAATCCAAACTAAACTCCTTTAATCCCCCTCCTCTACCCTAGTAATTAACATTAGGTATTTAGATGGAGTTGTCTTTTTTTTTGAGCTCCCACATGAGGGAGAACATGCAGTATTTGTCTTTTGATGTCTCATTTCACTTAACATGATGTTCTCTGTTCCATCCATTTTGCAGCAAATGACAGGATTTCATTTTTTTAAGGGCTGAATAGTATTTAATTGTGTATGTAAACATTTTCTTTACCCATTCACCAATGGACACTGGGTTGATTCTATAGTATGGCTATTGTAAACAGTACTGCAATAAACATGGTGGAGTCGGTATCTCTTTGATATGATAATTTCATGTCTTTTGGATATAAATATACCCAGTAGTAGGACTGCTGGATCATATAGCAGTTCTGTTTCTTGTTTTTAATGAAATCTCCATACTGTTTTCCATACTAATTCACATTCTCACCAGTGGTGTGTAAGAGTACCTCTTTCTTCATAATGTTGTCAGCATTTGTTATTTTCTGTCTTTCTGATAACAGCCATTCTAACAGGGGTGAGGTGATAGCTCACTGTAGTTTTGATTTTCACTTCCCTGATGGGTAGTGATATTGAGCATATTTTCATATATTTGTTGGCCATTTATATTTCTTCTTCTAAGAACTTATTCAAGTCCTTTGCCCATTTCTTTCTTTTCTTTTCTTTTTTTTTTTTAAAGATTTAAATTTATTTGAAAGGCAGAGTTATAGAGAGAAGAGGAGAGACAAAGATTTTCCACACATTGGTTCACTCTCCAAATGGTCACAATGGCTGGAGCTGGGCCAGGCCAAAGCCAGGAGTCAGGAGCCTGGAGCTTCTTGCAGGTCTCCCATGTGGGTGCAGGGGCCTAACCATCTTCTGTTGCTTTCTCAGGCACATTAGCAGGAAACTGGATCAAAGGTGGAGCAGCCAGCTCTCGAAGTGGTGTCCATATGGAATGCCGACACCACAGGCAGAGGTTTAACCTGCTATGCCACAGCGCCAGCCCCATGCCCATTTCTTAACTAGATTGCTTGTTTTTGTTGTTGAGTTTCTTGAGTTCTCGATCTGTTCTATAAATTAATCATGTGTTAGATAAACAGTTTACAAATATTTTCCCTTGGCCGGTGCCGTGGCTCACTTGGCTAATCCTCCGCCTGTGGCACCGGCACCCCGGGTTCTAGTCCCAGTCAGGGTGCCAGATTCTGTCCCAGTTTCTCCGCTTCCAGTCCAGCTCTCTGCTGTGGCCCGGGAGTGCAGTGGAGGATGGCCCAAGTGCTTGGGCCCTGCACCCACATGGGAGACCAGGAGGAAGCACCTGGTTCCTGGCTTTGGATCGGCGCAGTGCGCCCACCATAGCAGCCATTTGGGGGGTGAACCAACGGAAAGGAAGACCTTTCTCTCTGTCTCTCTCTCACTGTCTAACTCTGCCTGTCAAAAAAAAAAAAAAAATTTCCCTCATTCTGTCATGTCTTTTCATTGTACTGATTATTTCCTTTGCTGTGCAGAAGATTCTGAGTTTGATATAATCCCACTGTTCACCTTCCTTCTGGCTGGCTGTGCTCACAGCTCATACCAATGTCTTGAAGTGCTTCCCAATATTTTCATGTATCAATTTTATAATTTCAGGGCTTACATTTATGATTTTTTTTTTTTTGACAGGCAGAGTTAGACAGTGAGAGAGAGAGAGACAGAGAGAAAGTCTTCCTTTGCTGTTGGTTCATCCTCCAATGGCCGCCGCGGACAGCGTGCTGCAGCTGGCGCACCACGCTGATCCAAAGGCAGGAGCCAGGTGCTTATCCTGGTCTCCCATGGGGTGCAGGACCCAAGCACTTGGGCCATCCTCCACTGCAATCCTGGGCCATAGCAGAGAGCTGGCCTGGAAGAGGGGCAACTGGGACAGAATCCGGCGCCCTGACTGGGACTAGAACCCTGTGTGCCGGCGCCGCTAGGCAGAGGATTAGCCTATTGAGCCATGGCGCCAGCCTCCATCTTGATTTTTTTTTCTTCTTTTGGCTCAGGAATGCTTTGGCTATTCTGGGTCTTTTGTGTTTCTATATTAATTTTTTTTTTTTTTTTTTTTTGACAGGCAGAGTGGAAACTGAGAGAGAGAGACAGAGAGAAAGGTCTTCCTTTGCCGTTGGTTCACCCTCCAATGGCTGCCGCGGCCGGCGCACCGCGCTGATCCGATGGCAGGAGCCAGGAGCCAGGTGCTTTTCCTGGTCTCCCATGGGGTGCAGGGCCCAAGCACCTGGGCCATCCTCTACTGCACTCCCTGGCCACAGCAGAGAGCTGGCCTGGAAGAGGGGCAACAGGGACAGAATCCGGCGCCCCGACCGGGACTAGAACCCGGTGTGCCGGCGCCGCTAGGTGGAGGATTAGCCTAGTGAGCCCTCTATATTAATTTACAGTTGTGTTTTTCTAATTCTGTAAATTATCATGGGTACTTCGATAAAGATTAGGCTGAATCTGTAAATTGCTTTAGATAGTATGGACATTTAATGATGTTAACTCTTCCAATCCATGAACTGGGAACAACTTTGATTTTTTAGTGCCCACCATGACTTCTTTTTATTTATTTTTTTCCACCATAACTTCTTTTATCAGTGTTTTATTAATTTTCATTGTAGAGATATTTCTTTGGTTAAATTTAATCCTAAATACTTAAAATTTTTTGTAGCTATTATGAATGGGATTTCTTTCTTGATTTTTGTTTCATCAAGATCAATACTAATGTATTAAAAATGATACTGTCAGCTGGCTCCTGGCTCCTGCCATCGGATCAGCGCGGTGCGCCGGCCGCAGCGCGCCGGCCGCAGCGCGCCGGCCGCGGCGGCCATTGGAGGGTGAACCAATGGCAAAGGAAGACCTTTCTCTCTGTCTCTCTCTCTCTCTCACTGTCCACTCTGCCTGTCAAAAAAAAAAAAAAAAAAAAAAGATACTGTCTGGCCGGTGCCGCAGCTCACTAGGCTAATCCTCCACCTGCAGCGCCGGCACACCGGGTTCTAGTCCCGGTTGGGGCGCTGGATTCTGTCCTGGCTGCTCCTCTTCCAGTCCAGCTCTCTGCTGTGGCCCGGGAAGGCAGTGGAGGATGGCCCAAGTCCCTGAGCCCTGCACCCGCATGGGAGACCAGGAGGAGGCACCTGGCTCCTGGCTTCGGATCGGTGCAGCGCCGGCCACAGCACACTGGCCGTGGCGGCCATTTGGTGGGTGAACCAATGGAAAAAGGAAGACCTTTCCCTCTGTCTCTCTCTCTCTCTCACTGTCTAACTCTGCCTGTCAAAAAAAAAAAAAAAAAAAAAAAAAAAAAAAAGATACTGTCTCTCATATGTTGATTTTGCATCCTGTGACTTCAGTGAATCGGTTTATCAGTTCTAACAGCTTTGTGGGGTAGAGTCTAGGTTTGGCCATGTACAAAATCATGTCATTTGCCAACATGAATATTCTAACACCCTTTATTTCTTTTTCCTCTCTAACTGCTCTTGCTAATACTTCTAATACTTTACTGAATAAGAGCAGAGAAGTGGACATCTTTGTCTTGTTCTAGATCTGAAGAGAAATGCTTTCAGATTTTCCCCCATCCAGTATATTGGCTATTGGTTTATCATATATATGGCCTTTATAATTTTGAGGTGTGATTTCTATACCTAATCTGTTTATGGTTTTCATCAGGAAGGGATATTGAGTCTTAGCTAGTCTTTCTCTACATCTCTTGAGATCATCATACACTTATTTTTTTTTAAAGGTTTATTTATTTTATTTGAAAGGAAGGGAGAGTGAATCTGTCACCCACTGGTTCACTCCCCAAATGCCTGTAATGGTCAGGGCCTTGCTCTGAGCCCTGTTGCCCTAACCAGGGGGCCTCCCAGGGAAGAGCAGCTCCCGAGCGCGGCTGTGTTAATTCCTGTGTCCGGGCCCCGCCTGGGTACCCTTGATCCTGGTGATGCCTTGTTTGGGGTCCCCCGGGGTTGGGTGGGGAGGGGGAGTCTGCTTGAATGTACGCCGCTCATTCCCTGGGAGCCTGCACCCCGGGGTGCCCACCCGGCTGCCGCCCGTGTGACTACTGAAGCTGCTGTTCTTCCTGGGGTTGCCAGCACCCAGCGAGGGGGGCCGTCGCTAGCAGATGAACCTGAGTTGTTTGTTTTGCACTAAAGTTCCTGTGATTTAATAAAGTTCTGTTAACCAGAAAAAAAAAAAAAAAAAAAAACAAAAAAAACAAAAAACTAGAACTTCATCTGGTCTCCCATGTCGGCGGGCAGGGACCCAAGTACTTGGACCATCTTTTCCTGCTTTCCCAGATGTGCCAGCAGGGAGCTGGGTCAGAGGCAGAGCAGCCAGGACTCAAACTGGTGCTGCAAAATGGGGTGCCAACATTGCAAATGGTGGCCCAATCTGCTACACCACAATCCTGGGCCAGATTCTGGTTTTTGCTCTTCATTCTGTTGATGTGATTTATGACATTCCTTGATTTGCAAATGTTAAATCGCCTCTGCATCCTGGGGATAAATCCACTTGATTGTGACTTATGATCTTTGTTAATGTAATGTTGGTCTGTTTGCCAATATTTTGTTGAGAATTTTTGGCCCCATGTCTATCAAGGATATGGGTCTGTAGTTTTCTTTCTTTCTTTCTTTCTTCTTCTTCTTTTTTTTTTTTTTTTTGACAGGCAGAGTGGACAGTGAGAGAGAGAGAGAGAGAGACAGAGAGAAAGGTCTTCCTTTGCCATTGGTTCACTCTCCAATGGCCGCCGCGGCCGGCGTACCGCGCTGATCCGATGGCAGGAGCCAGGAGCCAGGTGCTTTTCCTGGTCTCCCATGGGGTGCAGGGCCCAAGCACCTGGGCCATCCTCCACTGCACTCCCTGGCCACAGCAGAGAGCTGGCCTGGAAGAGGGGCAACCGGGACAGAATCCGGCGCCCTGACCGGGACTAGAACCCGGTGTGCTGGCGCCGCTAGGTGGAGGATTAGCCTAGTGAGCCGCGGCGCCGGCCGGGTCTGTAGTTTTCTTTTTGTATTCTGTCTTTTTTTGGCTTTGGTATCAGAATAATGCTGGCATCATAGAGTTTGGCAAAGTTCCATTATTTTCCATATTTGCAGAGTATTGAAGTTAGTTCTTTTTTACGTATTTTGTAGAATTCAGTTATAAAGCCATCAGGTTCCAGACTGTTTTTGATGGGAGACTTTTAATTACTATTTCAGTCTCACTACTTGTTATGGGTATGCTTAGAATTTAGAGCTTTTCCTCCTTTCCACCATTCAACGCATTCTTTTTCATATGTAACCACTATTAATAACTGAGTTTATAAGCCTCAGACCTTCCATTTTACATTTATATATGTATGAACAGTATCTATAAACTATCTGGCTTACTTTACCTAACCAGGATCTTCTATAAACTTTTAAAAACTTTCAATGGGTCAGGCACTTGGTGCAATGGTTAAGTTCTACCTGGGATACTCACATCCCTAGATCCAAGCCCTGGCTCTGCTTCCCATTCCAGCTTTCTGCTAATGCACACCCTGGCAGGCAGCAGGTAATGGTTCAAGTACCTGGGCCCTTTCCACCTTAACTGAGACCTTAACTGAGTTCCAGGCTCCTGGCTGTGATGGACATTTGAAGAGTAAACCAGTGGATGAAGATCTCTGTCAGTCTTTCAAGTAAAAAAAATGAAAAATAAATTCAAAACTACTTTTTAGAGATCTTTCTATTCATGTTAATCTGCCTCATTTGAAACCATAAAATATTATAGAATATGAAAATGTCATTATTTATTCCTTTATAGCTCAACACCTAAGATAGTTTTTTGTTTACAATGTTACAGAGAACATCTTTGCAGTTATTGTGATACATAAGCTCAGTAACTACATGAGAGAATCCTAAAAGGGCAATTAGTAAGTCAAATAATATTTATCACTAAAGTGAATACTTAACAAGTCAGGCACTACTCCCAAGTGCCTTAAAATATCTAATCCTCATGAAAACCCTATCAGATGGGTATAGTTGTTATTACATTTATTACCATTTGTAAAATGGGAAAACGTAGGCATACACACACACACACACACACACACACATATATGTTTTAAAGATTTATTTATTTTAAAGTCAGCGTTACAGACAGGGAGATCGTCCATTTGCTGGAAGATGGCTGCCAACAGCCAAAGCTGGGCTAGGCTGAAGCCAGGAGCCAGGAGCTTCATCCTGGTCTCCCATGTGTGTGGCAGGTGCCCAAACACTTGGGCCGTCTTCTGCTGCTTTTCCCAGGCCATTAACAGGGAGCTGGATCACAAGTGGAGCAGCTTGTACATGAACTGGCATCTTTATGGGATGCTGGCACCACAGGTGGCAACTATAGCTGCTATGACACAATACCAGCCCCTGAATTAATTTTTTTGGATAACATTTTATCCTAGTCTAGTCTACCACTTACTATATGAAAGACCTTGGGTAAGTTATTTAGAATGATGTATGCATGCAGGCACTGTGGTTCAATGGGTTAAGCCACTGCTTGGAACACCCAATCCCATATTGCAGTGTCTGAGATCAAGTCTCACCTCCACTTCCAATCCAGCTTCTTGTTAACACACACTTTGGCAGGCAGCAGGTGGTTGTTCAAGTAACTGGTTTTCTTCCACCCATACGGCAGATTTAGAAGGAATTCTTAGCTCCTGGATTTAGCTTGGCCCAGGTCTGACTACTGTGAGCATTTCAGGAGCAAACCAATAGATAGAATATCTCTATTTCTCTGTCACTGCTGCCTTTCAAATAAATAAATATTTTTTAAAAATATATATGCCAAGGCCTATATTGTGGCACAGCAGGTAAACTGTCAACTGTGATGCTAGACCCCATATAGGCACTGGTTAATGTCCTGCTGCTCCACATCCAATCCAGCTCCCTGCTAATGGCCTGGGAAAAAGCAGTGAAGACAGCCCAAGTGTTAGGCCCCTGCTACTCAAGTGGGAGAAGCTCCTGGCTCCTGGCTCTGGCCTGGCCCAACCCCGACTGTTACAGCCATCAGGGGAGTGAACCAGCAGATGGAAGATCCTTTCTCTGTCACTCCCTCTCTCTGTACATTTGACTTTCAAAATAAACAAATAAATAAATCTTAATATCTTTAATTTTACAAAGTTGGAGCAATCTCAGTAAGAGCTTCTCTGGAATCCTCCAGAGGGCATAATCAGAACTGAGAAATCACAGCCAGCAGAGGAAAGAGAAGCTCAGGATTGTTTCGTGGCTCTACTATGTCTGACACAGAGGGACACTATGTCGTGGCTCTCCTATGTCTGACACTGAGAGAGGACTGTTTTTTCAGCATGCCGTATCTGAGGGCAAGGTCATACAGCCCAGCACTTCTCTATTAAGCCATGCTCTAAAGAAGTCAGAGAAGGCTGAAGAGCAAAAAAAAAAAAAAAAAAAAAAAAACAGGCAGAAACAAATTCCACTTAATCTTTTTAAGATGGTTAACATTACCAGTCTTAGGCAGTTCCTTTGAAGCTTACATTTTTAATGCTCCAGAGAATTCCCTGAGATATAAACTATTATTTTCCTTATTGAATTAATGAGAAAATAGACACAAAAAGATGAAGTAACTTGTCCAAAATTATTCACAAAGTAGTAGCAGACCTGCTATTTAAACCTAGGCTGTCCAGCTAGGAATCCAATTCTTTACCATTAAATCTCCTCCCCCCTCTATTTATTAAATCATAAAAATATTAACAGAAGTGATTTCACATTAAACAGAAGACAGGAGTATAATAAAAACAAATGGTATTTCTTCATTTATTACTCACTAAGTTTAACTGATCCTTCCATCCCCAAAAGCACATTGTCACTTTTGATGTCTCTGTGGATCACTTGATTAGCATGTAAAAACTCCAAAGCCTGTAAACACTGAACAGAAGAAAAACACCTATCAATGAAACATTCCTGAAAAGTCAAGGGAGCTCTGTATGCAGTAGTTAGGGCCTAAGCATTGCTTCTACAATCTAGCAGAATATCTTCCAGGGCTTAGATTTATAAATAAGAACATCCTCTCACGTGCAAAGCTAGGAAAATACGCCTTAATTAACTAGCTCTCCTCCTGTCTGATCTCACCCAGCGACACCCAGTCCATTCTCTACCACTGATTATCACTCAGTCTTCAAAGGTCTAATATATAAAACAAAGGGCAGGTGAGTCAATACAACTTCTAGGCCTTTTCAGTCTTCAATCCCTAAAGGTGAACAGCACTTGGTAGCAGGCACACACTCTAAAGAAATCATTAACAGGAGCAGGTGTTGTGACACAGGGGGTTAGGCAGCCACTAGTGACACACACATCCCATACTGGAGTTCTAGTTCAAGTACCAGCCACTCTGCTTCCCACTCAGCTTCTTGCTAATGCAGCCTGGGAGGCAGCTGATGATGGCTCAAGTGCTTGGGCTCCTGCCACCACATGAGAACTAGATGGAGTCCAGGACTCCTGGCTTTGGCTCAGTCCAACCCTGGTTGTTGCAGGTTATTCTGGGGACTGAACCAGTGGACAGAAGATCCCTCTATCATACTTTCAAATAGATAAAAATACATTTTTTTAAAAAATATAAGCATTTAAAAAAAATCAACTCAACAATAAGGAATAAACCTTGTGGAGCGGAACACATTTGGCCTAAGAGTTTAAATGCCATGTCCCACACTGTAGTTGTCTGGGTTCAATTCCCAGTCCTGGCTCCTGATTCTAGCTTCTTCCAATGCAGACCCTGGAAGGCAGCAGTGAAGGCCCAAGTGACTGGGTCCCTGACATCCACATAGAGACCTGAGTCCCCAGTTCCTGACTCTGGCTCCAGTCCATTCTGGTCATTGCAGGTGTTTAGGGAAGGAATCAGCACATGGGAGCATGCTGCGTGAATCTGTCTTTGCCCCTCAAATAAAAACAAACCCGTGATCATTCCCACTTGAATCTGAGCCACTGAGAAATGGGTAAGATGCTGGTGGTCTGGGTCAGTCTAGCTGTTCATTAGTGTGGCCTACGACGTCTGCCTCGTTTATTCTATGGCAAACAGTCCATCAGGACACCAATGGTGAAAAACTAGCTTTCCTCTTATGCCACGTTTCAGAAAGTAACAGGTCAAAAGGTGAAGACAGATTCTTCCCTTCCTTAATCACAAGAATGAGTTTAATAACTCTGCCCCAATGCTTCTGAATATGAACTGAGAGCACCCATTGCAAACTCAGGAAAAGTTAATTTTTACTTTTCATTCTCATCAAAAAGAACAACAGATAAAGTCTACCCATGATTTATAACTTAAAAAAACCTCATTTGAAATACACTACTAGTCATTCAATGAAACAATGGGGTATTAACACATTACATTTAGCAGGCACTTAATGAGATTCTTAAAAAGCATGAAGTCCCAGAATAATACCAGTACAAATAAATAGAATCAAACTTCTTGCAATTTTTAAACATTGGCATATGGAAGAAAAGCCAAGTGAAAGGTTATCGGAGGAACTCCTAAAATTAATTTTACATCAATTATGAAAAAGGTATTACAAAAACTAAGTATAAATAGACAACATTATTATGTTTCATCAACTTTTAACTATGATCAAACAGTCTTTGTTAAGGGACATCATATTCAGAACTATTAATAAGTTCTTATTTTATTCCTTCAGAAGGGTGTTAACCATTATATGGAGCACCATTAGTTCAGAATTAAAATTTTAAATGAATATATTTTTAAAATGTATCAAAAATTTTTTCATTTTATTTGAAAGGCAGAGAGAGAGAGAGAGAGAGTGCATGCCAAAAACAGAGACAAACAGATCTTCTATTCACTGATTCACTTTCAAAATGTCCCCAACAACCAGGGCTGGGGCAGGTGGAAGCCAGGAGCCTGGAATTTAATGTGGGTCTACCACGACCTTTACAAGCTTGCCCTTTGTGACAAAGTCTCCTATGATTTTAGAAAAAAGCAGCACTACAGTTTCATTGGCAATAAGTAAACCATTGACTTAAGTCTTTCCTGAGAAAAAGATTCGATAGAAAGAAAGGTTGATTTGGCTTTGACTTCGGCAACTTATGTTGAGTTCAGCAGATTAAAATAAGCACAAGGGTACTTCAAAAATGGAATTACATGATAAGATGCATTTTCTACAAACTTACTGAAGTACCTTTGTGGTATGTCTAGAAATTCATTAATGAACACAAAGAAACAACCAATTTCTTTACTCGTACTGGGTCAAGGTCAAAGTTTCATTTCCTGATTATCCTGCACAGGATGGGAAGGGCTGAAACTCTCATGCATGATGAAATGGAATGGGCTAACTTGCAGAGTATGTACGCTGAGAAATTATTCCACATAATAAAAGTTACAGAAAAACATTCCTTTGATTCTTTTAATCTCTGGCTGACTACAGATCACCATAGCTTATCACCATGGGAGCAAACCCACCTCTCTGCACACAGCTGCAATCTGCGCTTCATCCATGCAGGTTTCTGTTACAACATCAGTAAGTGAGCCACCAGCAAGGTACTCCATTACCACGAATAATTCATCTCCCACTAGGTAACTAAAAACAGAACACACAAAATACACTCACATTTTCGTTGTCTACACACATGGTTCTCTCTGTTAACGAATTCAAATGTAAAACATCTTGATGAGAGCTAGAGAATCAGTATCTTGAGAACTAGAAAGAAAACCTGAAAAGATACTACACACAGCTCAGAAAAATAACTAAGGATCATTTTGATGCTCCTGAATCATTCTGAGTATGTACATACATGGATTATTCCAAGTAAAATAACCCCATAAGGTGAGAATTATGAATCCTGTTTTGCAGATGAAGAGACAGGGGCTTGAAGAGGTTCAATAACTTATTCAAAGTCATAACTACTAAGTAACAGAACCAGAATCAGAAGCCAGAAACCAATGATGTAAACACCATGCCAGAGTGACTTGAAATATTACTTTTTTTTTTTTTGACAGGCAGAGTGGACAGTGAGAGAGAGAGACAGAAAGGTCACCCTTCAATGGCCGCTGCGGTCAGTGCGCTGTGGCCGGCGCACTGTACTGATCCAAAGCCAGGAGCCAGGTGCTTCTCCTGGTCTCCCATGCAGGTGCAGGGCCCAAGGACCTGGGCCATCCTCCGCTGCACTCCCGGGCCACAGTAGAGAGCTGGACTGGAAGAGGAGCAACCGGGACAGAATCCGGTGCTCTGACCGGGACTAGAACCCGGTGTGCCGGCGCTGCAGGTGGAGGATTAGCCTATTGAGCTGCGGCACCAGCCGAAATATTACTTTTAAAAATTGTACCTGAAAATTTTATTTTTCTCATTCTAAACAAATTTAAATATGGAAGAAAGTTGCCTATAATCCTGTAACTCCGATAAAACCACTATTACATTTTCATCTTCTGCTAAGTCTTTCATTCATATGTTGTTAAGTATTTAAAAAGTGGTTGTAGTAATATACATAATTTTCTATTCCGGTTTTTGTTCTATTATTCAACATTAATTCCTACACTAAATGAGAGGTTTTAAAAACATTATTTTCATTATTACTTGAAAGGAGAGAGACAGACAGACAAACAGACACAAAGAGAACAGTCAGCCAGAGTTTTCCATCCACTAGTTCATCCCCCAAATGCTCACAACATTTTTCCAGGAGCCTGGAACTCAAGTGAGGTCTCCCACATGGGTGGCAGGGATCTGAGTACTTGAGTAATCACCTCTGCCTCCCAGGGGCGCATTGGCTGGAAGATGGATCAGAAGCAGAGTAGGCAGGATACAAACCAGTGCTCTGATAGGAGATAACAGGCATTCCAAGTGGCAACTTAACAGCTGAGCCAAACACCCACACCTAAATGAGGTTTTGGTAGATAATATATAATTTACTCATGAAACCCAACCTTTAAGATAAAAATTCATAGAATATATGGTCCTTTGTTTAAATACCTTCTCTCATTTGCCATAAGATATCCCTGTAGAAAAATAAACTTTGAATCATAATGTGCTTTTACCTCTCCTCCTTCAAGTTTATTTCTTAGCTCTGACATTTTTAGAAAATATTTATTTCAAAGGCAGAGCTATAGACACACATACATGGGGTTGGAGGGAGAATGGGAGAGAGGTGGTGGGAGGGAAGGAGGGGGAGAGCGAGAGGGAGAGAGAAAAGAAGAGAGGGAGAGATCTTCCTTCCATTTGCTAGCTCATTCCCCAAGTGGCTCTAACAGCTAGAGCTTGGCCAGGCAGAAGCCAGGAGCCAAGAGCTTTTTCCAGGTCTCCCATATGGGTGCAGGGGCCCAAGCACTTGGGCCATTGTCTGCTCCTTTTCTCAGGCCACTAGCAGGGAGCTGTTAGAGGTGGAGCATCAGGGACCAGAACTAGCACCATATTGGATGCTGGCATGGTGGGGCTTAACCCACTGTGCTACAATGCTGTCTCCTGATGCATTTCTTTTCTTTTAAGATTTCTTCATTTATTTGAAAGGCAGAGTTGGGGGGGGGGGGATTTTCTATCCACCATCTACCAGTTCAGTCCCTAAATGGTCACAATAGCTGGGGCCAGAACAAGTGGAAGCTAGGAGCCTGGAACTCTATCTGGGTCTCCCATGTGGGTGGCAGGGGCCCAACTACTTGGGTTATTTTCTAGTGACTTCCCAGGCACATTAGCAGGAAGCTGGATTGGAAGTGGAGCAGCTGGAACTCGCATGGAGTTCATAAGTGATGCCAGTGTTGCAGGCAGTGACTTAGACCACTCTGCTACAACGTCAGGCCCAGTACTGACATTTTTTTTTTTTTTAAAGATTTATTTATTTATTTGAAAGGCAGAGTTACAGAGAGGCAGAGGCAAAGAAAGAGAAGTCTTCCATCCACTGGTTCACTCCCCAAATGACCACGAGAACTGGAGCTGGGGCTATCTAAAGCCAGGAACCAGGAGCTTCTTCCAAGTGGCCCATGCAGGTATAAGGGTCTAATGACTTGGGTCTTCTTCCACTGCTTTCCCAGGCACATTAACAGAGAGCCAGATCTGAAGTGGAGCAGCCAGGACTTGAATCGGTTTCCATATGGATGCTGCCACTGCAGACGGCAGCTTTATCTGCTACACTCCAGCACTGACATTTAACTGAAGCAATTAGCCCCTTCAAACCATGAAAATTAAAATTTCCACATTTTTAATTCCAATTACCTGTCCAAGAAGTTAACTATGTTGGGATTTTTTAACTCTTTCATCACCAGAATTTCATTAATGATCAATTCCTTCTTTGGCTGTTTCTGTAAATTAATCTGTTTGATAGCAACCTATAATGGAAACAGAATTGAAGAAAACTCAACAGATTTTCTAATCCTCATAGAAAATTACAAACAACAGTTAACAGTTTAACTTATTAAATACATATTATATTATACAATGAGATTGTAACTCATTCACAGTTAGTAATTCCACACTGCATATGCACAACTCTTTGCAATATACAGAGCCTAAATATTTTTAGTTTTATCTTGACGTTGATTAACCAATCCAAATCAGTACAGCAGCAGGAATTAACCCTCTTTTCATTCCAAGCTAGGAAAATAATCTTTTAATATTTGTTTATTTATGATACTAAGTTATAATTCCTTTTTCCCCTGTGAGAAATGCTATAGATACACAAAGCAGATCTCTTCAACTGGAAACAGACTTCTCTTGATTATTCTCAGCTTTAATCTAGTTTTCTGCTACATGGAAAGCTAATAACATTCAGAAGCATGAAAAAGTAGCTACCTCCTGTCCCAATGCCACATCAGTAGCAGTGAAAACTGTACCAGAAGCCCTAGAGGGAGAAAAGATAACAAGATTTAAGGTTTCTAAATCACTGTTATATCCAAAGACTTTACACTTCAAGAAGTCAAAAAAGGATTAAAAAACATTTAAGACATCACCTGTAAAAGAAATAAAAGTCAAAACAAAATCAAAGGAAAAGAAGATGAAAAAGAGGCAAGCCTTGTGACTAAAACTTATATTTGAAATAGTTCAGAACTATAAAAATATTAGGGAAAAATGTAACCTAACTCATGAATACACTTCCTTGCTCAGGAAACAACTACAAATGACTGTGAAGGTTCCTGCCCATCGTTCCTGAAAGGCATCCTCCCTGCTCCCAGTGGTCACCTGTATTTGATGGCGTCATTTCCACACATTTCTCTAAACTGAACTAAAGGACACAGGGGTATATCTTTATAGAATATACTAGTACTCAGCCTGATTTTTAAACATTATACAGTTTGATTTTACACATTTTTCCTGCAACTTATTTTTTTAATTAAAAATTTTACAGTTATTTGAGAGACAGAGAGCAAGCACTCTCCCATCTGCTGCTTCACTTGCCAACTGCCTGTAAAGGGACAGGGCTGGGCTAGGCTGAAGCCAGAGCCCAGAACTCAATTCAGATCTCCCGCGTGGGCAAATGGCACTCAACATTGCTTGTGTTATCATCTAGTATCTCCCAACGTCTACATTAGCAGAGAGCTGGAACTGGGAGCTAGAGCAGGGACTTGAACCCAAGAATTCTGATATGGGACATGGGCATCTTAAATACTACACCAAATGCCTGTTCCAATCAACTGGCTTTCCTTAGCTAACACTGGATTTGTGATGGTCATCCATATAGATAGATATTATTCTTGATCATCATTACTATTATATATATTATTTATCCATTATTATGCTAAAAAGCAGTAAGATGAATCTCACTTTTTTTGTGATTAAAAAACAGTGCCCAGGGGCCAGAGCTGTGGGCGCTGGTTTGAGTCTCTGCTGCTCCTTTTCTGATCCAGCTCTCTGTTAATGGCTTGGGAAGGCAGGGGAAGATGGCCCAAGTCCTTGGGCTCTGCACCCACGTGGGAGACCTGGAAGAAGCTCCTGGCTCCTGACTTCAGATCAGCGTAGCTCTGGCTTTTGCAGCCAACTGGGGATTGCATCAACGGATGGAAGACCTTTTTCTCTCTCCTTCTCTCTGTAACTCTACCTCTCAAATAAAAAAACAAAACAGAACAAATAAAAAGTGCCCCAACTGAATTTAGTTAAAAAAAAATTTTAAAGCATTTTTCAACACAGGTTCTTTCTAATGTTCTAGAGCTTAAGTTCTTTCTAAATCCAAAGAGCACTTCCCAGAGATCAGTAAAACATCGAGATGTTTACCTGCTTCCAAGCAACAGAAAATGAGAATTGTTAATATAGTTTAAAAGCATAAATTAGACAAAATCAGATCAGTAGATGCAAAAAGATCAATGATCAACCATGTAATTTTTTTTAAAGATTTATTCATTCACTTGAAAGTCAAGAATTACAGAGAGACAGATCCTCCATCTGTTGGTTCACTACCCACATGGCCTCAATGGCCACGAGTGGACCAGCCCAAGGCCAAGAGCCAAGAGCCCCATCTAGATCTCCCACATAGATAGCAGGGACCCAAACACTTGAGCCATCTTCTGCAGCTTTTCCCAGAACACCATCAGGGAGCCAGATCAGAAGTGGAGCGGACAGGACATGAATCAGTGTCACATGGGATTCCTGTGCCGCAGGCTTTACCCACTATGCCACAATGCCAGTCCCAACAATATAATTTTAAGTACATGTTGTTATTGCCTATGATCCTGCAATAAATACTATTCTTATCTATTAAATATACTTTACAGGCAAATTTTCCACCTCTCTGATTCTTTACCTTCGATGCAAACTGATCTTTATAACAAACAATGATGTAGGGGCCGGCGCTGTGGCGTAGCTGGTAAAGCCGCCACCTGCAGTGCTGACATCTTTTATGGGCACCGGTTCGAGACTCGGCTGCTCCACTTGCGATTCAGCTGTCTGCTATGGACTGGGATAGTAGCAGAAGATGGCCCAAGTCCTTGGGCCCCTGTACCTGCATGGAGATCTGGAAGAAGCTCCTGGTTACTGGCTTTGGATCGGCTAGCTCCGGCTGTTGTGGCCAACTGGAGAGTGAACCAGTGGATGGAAGACCTCCCTCCCTCTCTCCCTCCCTCCCTGCCTCTCTCTCTCTCTCTCTCTCTCCCTGCCTCTCCTCTCTCTGTTTAACTCTGACTTTCAAATAAATAAATCAATCTTTAAAACAAAACAAACAAAAAGTGATGTAAAGTCATTGATAAATGATATTTTAAACAGCATCTAATAACAACCAGATTACTTATTTATACAAATCCCCAAGAATATAACTTAGAGAATATGTAAGTGCTCATTGTCAGGAGGCAAGAGATGCAGGCTGTATACCTAGAAAATAATGAATACTGTTATAAACACAAATACAATTATAAATATGTACTTACCCTTGTCCAATTTTTTCATATCTTGTATATTTTTTCTTAGGGTCACCTATGCTCACAATAGTTCCTATTGTAAACAAAAACAAGAAGTTTAATAATCAGTTAAGCATTTTGTTTCCCCAAAGAAACCTTTTATTTAAGAATACAAACTTTATACATTTCATAAGTACAACTTTAGGAATATAATGATTCTTCCCAGCATATCTGCTCTCCTACCCACACTCCCACATTCTCCTCCTCCTTCCTCTCCCATTCCCAGTCCCATTCTCCACTAAGATCCATTTTCAATTAACTTTATACACAGAAGACCAACTTATACTAAGTAAAGAATTTAACAATTTGCACGAAAAAAAAAAAAAAACACAAAAACTGTTCCTCAACAGTCAAGCAAGGGCTGTTCAAAGTCATCACATCTTGAAGTTAATTTCATTATTTTAAAAGAAACTTAATTAACTTTAAAGAAGCACCCAAGAATGATACCTTTTTTCTGCAAGCACTTAGACATAACTATAACTTATGAGACATAAGAATATCCTCCACTTAATACACTAAAATGAAATAAATCTTTGAGAACAAGTTTTACTGTTAACTCTCAAAATACAGGCTGGCGCCATGGCTCAATAGGCTAATCCTCTGCCTGCAGCGCTGGCACACAGGGTTCTAGTCCCGGTCGGGGCACCGGATTCTGTCCCGGTCACTCCTTTTTCTGTCCAGCTCTCTGCTGTGGCCCGGGAGTGCAGTGGAGGATGGCCCAAGTGCTTGGGCCCTGCACCTGCATGGGAGACCAGGAGAAGCACCTGGCTCCTGGCTTCCGATCAGCACAGCTGCAGTGGCCATTTGTGGGGTGAACCAACAGAAAAAGGAAGACCTTTCGCTCTCTCTGTCCACTCTGCCTGTCAAAAAAAAAAAAAAAAAACAACAAAAAAAAAAAACAACCAACCAAACAAAAAAAAACCTTTTGAAGATAGAGGTCCTACATGAGAAGTTAGTGCTGTGATTCTTGTTAATTTAACAATTAACACTCTTATGTATGACATCAGTGATCATTCAAGGCTCTTGACATGAGCTGCCTCAGCTATGGAAGTGTTTTGAACCCACAAACTCTATCAGTATTTAGACAAGGCCATAAGCAAAATGGAAGTTCTCTCCTCCTTTCAGAGAAACATATCTCCTTCTTTGATGACCACTTTTTTCCACTGGGGTCTCTGTCACAGAGACCCTTTATGTAGGCCTTTTTTTGCCACAGTGTCTTGGCTTTCCATGCCTGAAATGTTCTCACGGGCTTTTCAGCCAGACCAAAATGCCTTTAAGGGCTGATTCTGAGGTCAGAGTGCTACTTAAATCGATTGTCATTCTCTATGAGTCTGCTGTGTGGACTGCTTCCCATGTTAGAATAGTCTCTCCTTTTTAATTCTATCTATTATTATTACCAGACACTTGATCTTATTTGTATGATCCCTTTAACACTTAATCCTATCTATATGATCACTTTAATACTTAACCCTATCCATATGATCACTTTAACACTTAAAATGTTATTTTTACCACCCAGCTTAAGGGGATTTGGGGGTTCCATAGCAAGCTTTTAGACTGTACCCTTAGAAGTAAGTCCCTAGGAATGTATGCAGAACTATAGAGCTTTACAAAATTCATACATTTCATAATAACAACTTTAGGAACATGCTGATTCTTCCCACTGTGTCATACTCCCACCACTCTTCCTCCTTCCTCTCTTATTCCCACTCTTATTTTTTACTAACATGTATTTTCTCTTTTTTAACTTTTATTTAATAAATATAAATTTCAAAAGCACAGTTTATGGGTTATAATGGCTTCCCCCCTCATAACTTCCTCCCACCCGCAACCCTCCCCTTTCCTGCTCCCTCTCCCCTTCCATTCACATCAAGATTCATTTTCAATTCTCTTTATATACCGAAGATCAATTTGGTATAAATTAAGTAAAGATTTCAACAGTTTGCACCCACACCAAAACACAAAGTATAAAATACTGTTTGAGTACTAGTTATAGCATTAATTCACATTGTACAACACATTAAGGACAGAGATCCTACATGAGGAGTAAGTGCACAATGACTCCTGTTGTTGACTTAACAAATTGACACTCTTGTTTATGGTGTCAGTAATCACCCTAGGCTCTTGTCATGAGTTGCCAAGGCTATGGAATGAGTTCGCCAACTCCGATCTTATTTAAAAGAGGTCATAGTCAAAGTGGAAGTTCTCTCCTCCCTTGTTTTTAAAAATTCATTTATTTGAAAGGTAGAAGTACAGAAAGAGAGGGAGAGAAAGAGATCTTCCATCTGTTATTTCACTCCCCGAATGGCTGCAATGGCAAGGCAGAAGCCAGGTGTCTAGAACTCCATCTGGGTGGCAAAGGCTTGAGTACTTGGGCCATCTTCTGCTCTTCTCCCAGGCACACTAGAAAAGGAGCTGGATTAGAAGCAGGTGTCTGCATGGGATACCAGCATGGCAGGCGGTGGCTCTACTCACTGCACCGCAGTGCAGGGCTCTGTGTATATATTTTCATCTACTTGAAAGGCACAGTGACAGGGACACACAGACAGAGACGCAGAGATCTTCCATCCACTGTTTCTTTCACTCTCCCTCCTGGGGTCTCCCTGTGATGCTGGCATAGCATATCAGAGTGCCAGTTTGAGTCCCAGCTGCTCTACTTCCAATCAGGCTCCCTGTTAATGTGCCTGGGAAAGCAGCAGAGACAGTCCAAGTACTTGGGTCCCTGCCTCCCAGGTGGGAGACCCAGATGAAGTTCCAGGGTCCTGGCTTCAGCTTGAACCAGCCCCAGCTGATGCAGGCATTTGAGAAGTGAAACAGAAGATGGACGATCTCTCTTTCTCCCTATCACTCTGCCTTTCAAATAAATAAAGTAAAAATCCTAAAAAAAAAAAAAGATGCTAAGGGCAAAAACATACCAAAAGATAAGAGATGTGACAGGTAAAGGTCATAACTGAATGGTGACAATTACTAGTTTTTTTTTAAATAAGCAGGTCCCCTAAAAGAAGAAATATTATATATGTCTACAAAATAGTGGAATAAAAGCAGGTTTACACATGAAAGTACTGAGAAATCAAAAAATAAGTAGATGTATAGCATATAAATGTTTAAAATAATCCATCCACAAAATAGTTTTCCTTGTTTTCTCTGGGTCAATGTTCTCTAGTGTTACTTTACCCCTGTCACCAGACATTATTAATACCCTCTCCCTGGATCTATTTACATTTTTTCAATGTTCAATTCAGGCTAATGATAAACAGTTGGTGTATTAAAAGGAAGAAGAGAAAAACATTTTCCCCAGACAGCTTTTGTTCTATACACAAATCTACAGAAGGTCATCCTGTTTAATTATTTAGGGACCTCTGCAGGTTCGTACTGAGAAGGTACAGGTATACATAAATTATATACAAACATGCTTTGGTAAGGTTTCCATCTATGTACCTTAGATAAAAGGTACTGCTTCCAAAGATACTATTGGTGAAACACTGCCACTGGTCAACACATAAACTCTTTCAAATGCACTAATAAACAAATAAAGAAGAGTATTACTTTGGTTTCACCACCTTTTCTCTGAAGTTATTATTCTTTATGAAATTAATTTATCATATACCTTTAAGTCAAAATATAAGTAACAAGTTAAAATTCACTGGGAAAAATGTTTTAAGAAATGTTAAAAATTTAAGAGTAATGTAAAATGTAGGTAACATACGTAATTTCTCCATAATCTCTTCATCTGTCATCTTGGTTTTCTTTTTCTGTTTATCTGAAGACTTGGCACCACTATCAACATGAGAATCACCAACTGGTGCAGGAATAGGGTCAATTACAGACCGTGTATAAATCTGCAGAGACACAGCACAACGTTGAGTTGTTTTTTTTTTTTTTTAAAGACAAAGAATGATCTTAGGCTTAATGTGTACCTCACAGGGTACACATTAGACAGAAGCTGCAATCAAGAGCAAAGCCAGGACTCAAACCCTCCAGTATGGGATGCAGGCATTTCAAGTGGTATGTTCACTACTGTGCAAACACTGGCCTCAAGATTTGAAGAAAGATATTTTCACTGGTACTCTATTCAGTTGATTTTTGACCAAAACTAAGCAGCTTCTCCCATTGCTCTAAAGAATGGGAATATTTTCAGACTACAAAAAATAATGTAACTAAGAAGAATGAGTGTTAAATATTTTTCTATGGCATAGCATGTTTATATTCTGAAGTTTAGCCAACCAGTTGTATAGTAGTATAGTAGAGCAGTAGAAAGAAGCAAAGCTTACAAATTAGGCTTTTATTACAAAAGGTATATAAAATGCAAGAGAACAGAATCTCTGACACTGAAATAACTATTGTTGATTCCTACAAGAACTCTGACAGAAACATAACGTCTACCACTCCATTTCAAACAGTGACTTCTAAGGAATAAAGAAAATACTCTAGCAGAATTCTAGCATTAGATCAGGATCCAGAGCTTCACCTGCCAACTGTGCCACCACACTGCATTTCACTGCAAAGCACCTGCCCTCAGTCTTACTTGTACTTGTATTAGTACAGGGAGAAGGACAGCACTTGCTATTTCCTCTTTTTGGCTCCCTATAAGGTCATTATTATTAAAATTCTCCTCTACCTGGTTAGGAATTTCATTCTCAACCACCTGTAGAGTGACATCAAGGCTTCAAGAGAAATGTAGAAGCCATTAGATTTCAATTTCAAAAAACTAGCTTCTGAAGAACAGTGTTTAGGCAATGATCTCCTAGTTCAATCTCCCCATACTAAGATCTTCTAAACTCAAAGACTTTCTAAAACTAGCCAAATACTGTTTTTAAAACACACATAGCCCAGTTCACTACTCCAGCACTCACTGATTTTGTATGATCTGGCCGTGGGGCAATAACAGGAGGTGCCGCCTCTTCGTCATCGTCGTCTTCTTCTGTTACTACTGCTGATGTTTCTGATACCTTGGTATTCAGCTGCATTTATCATGTAAGCAAAGGAAGGAAGAAAAGCCAATAAAATTAAAAGTTAACAATGTTACTCTTTCTTTGTTAAACATATTTGAGAAAGTTTACTTCCTTTAATAACTCATTTCAAAATGATAAATCCTCACTGGTTCTAATACAATAAATTTTAAAGATTTTATTTAGCCGGCGCCACGGCTCAATAGGCTAATCCTCCACCTAGCGGCGCCAGCACACCAGGTTCTAGTCCCAGTCGGGGCGCCGGATTCTGTCCCGGTTGCCCCTCTCCCAGGCCAGCTCTCTGCTGTGGCCAGGGAGTGCAGTGGAGGATGGCCCAAGTGCTTGGGCCCTGCACCCCATGGGAGACCAGGAGAAGCACCTGGCTCCTGCCTTCGGATCAGCACGGTGCACGGGCCTCAGCATGCCAGCAGTGGTGGCCATTGGAGGGTGAACCAATGGCAAAAGGAAGACCTTTCTCTCTGTCTCTCTCTCTCTCACTGTCCACTCTGCCTGTCAAAAAAAAAAAAAAAAAGAAAAAAGATTTTATTTATTTATTTGAAAGTCCACACTGCAGAGAGACAGAGAGAGGAAAGAGAAATATCTTCCATTCATTGGTTCATTCCCTAGATGGCTGCAATGGCCAGGGCTGAGCTAGGTGGAGCCAGGAGCCAGGAGGTTCTTCCAGGTCTTCCATGTGGGAAAAGGGGTGCACACACTTGGGCCATTTCTGCTGCTTTTCCAAGCCTTAGTAAGGAACTGGATTGGAAGTAGAGCCTCTGGGACACAAACCGGTGCCCGTATGGGACATCAGCATAGCAGACAGTGGTCTAACCCACTATGCCATGATGCCAGCCCTCTAATACAATAATTTTAAAAGTAAAGATGATTTTGAGGGTCGGTGCTGTGGTACAGTAGGTTAATCCTCCACCTATGGCCCCGGCATCCCATATGAACACTGGTATGAGTCCTGGCTGCTCCTCTTCTGATCCAGGTCTCTGCTGATGGCCTGGGAAAGCAGCAGAAGATGGCCCATGTGCTTGGGCCCCTGCACCCATGTGGGAGACCTGGAGGAGGCTCCTGGCTCCTGGCTTTGGATCAGTCCAGTTCTGGCCTTTGCAGCAATTTGGGAAGAGAAAGGAAGACCTCTCCCTCACTGTCTGTAACTCTACCTGTCAAATAGACAAATAAAATCTTAAAAAAAAAAAGAGATGATTTTGAGTTATGCAAATGTTTATGAAATGTTTATGGAGATCATCAAATATTCTTTTTTAAAAAAAGATTTACTCATTTATTTGAAAGTGTTAGAGGCAGAGGCAGAGAGAGAAAAAGAGAGAGAGGTCTTCTAACTGCAGTTCACTCCCCAAATGGCTGCAACAGCTGGAGCTGGCCGACTCGAAGTCAGGAGCCAGGAGCTTTTTCTGAGTCTCCCATTGGCTTCAGGGGACCAAGCACTTGGGCCATTTTCCACTATTTTCCCAGGCCATAGCAGAGAGCTGGATTGGAAGTGGAGCAGCCAGGACTTGAACTGGTGCCCATATGGGATGTTGGTGCCCATATGGGATGCCGGCACTGCAGGCAGCAGCTTTACCAGCTACGCCACAGCGTCGGCTCCTATCAAATATTCTTGAGAATATTATTTATATTATATAAATAAGCATATATATCCAATGCCCTAAAGAGTAAATAATCTATTTTTAAGATGAAAAAAATGGGCTGGTATTATGGCACAGTGGGTTATGCCACCACCTGTGATGCCAGCATAACATCAGAGAGCCAGTTGTAATCCTGGCTGCTCAGTTTCGAATCCAGATCCCAGCTAATGTAGTTGTAAATGCAGCAGAGGATGGCACATGTACCTGGGTCCCTGCCACCCATGTGGGAGACGTGGACAGAGTTCCTGGCTGCTAGCTTCAGCCTGGCCCACCCTTGGCCATTGAGGCCATTTGGGGAGGAAACCAGCGGCCGTCCTCCGCTGTTTTCCCAGGCACATTAGCAGGGAGCTGAATCAGTAGCAGTTGGGATGCGAACCAGAGCCCATATGGGATGCCTGTGCTGCAGATGGTGGCTTAACCTGCTGTACTACAGTGCTAGTCCCCAGTCATTTCAGGACATTTAAAATAGCCATGGGGCTGGTGCTGTGATGCAGCAGGGTGAGCTGTTGCTGGCAATGCTGGTATTCCATATCAGAATGTTGGCTGGAATCCCAGCTGCTCTGCTTCTGATCCACCTTCCTGCTAATGTGCCTGGGAAAGTAGCTGATGATGGCCCAAATACTTGGGCCCCTGCCACGCAATGGAGATGTGGGAGAGAGTTCCAGTCTCCTGGCTTCGGCCTCACCCAGCCCTGGCTGTTGTGGCCATCTGGGGAGTGAACTAGCAGATGGAAGACGTCTTTCTCTCTCTGTCACTACATCTTTCAAGTAACAAATAAATCTTTTTCTTTTTAAAGATTTATTTCTTTATTCGAAAGTTAGAGTTATACAGAGAGAAGAGAGGCAGAGAGAGAGAGAGGTCTTCCATGCAATGGTTAACTCTCCAATTGGCTGCAACAGCTGGAGCTGCACCAATCTGAAGCCAGGAGCCAAGAGCCTCCTCTGGGTCTCCCACATGGGTACAGGGGCCCAAGGACTTGGGCCATCTTCTACCAGAGAGCTGGATGGGAAGTGAAGCAGCTGAGTCTCAAACAGGTGCCTATATGGGATGCCGGTACTTCAGGCCAGGGCGTTAACCCTTCGCACCACAGCGCCCACCCCAACAAATAAATCTTAAAAACATAAAAATCCACAACCACCAGAAAAAGTAGTCGTTAAAAAAGCAAAAATGGTGGGGCTGGTGGTGTGGTATAGTGAATAAAGCTGCTGGCTTTGACACTGACATCGAATATGGATGCCGGTTTGAGTCCTGGCTGTTCTACTTCTGATCCAGCTACTTGCTAAGGTGCTGGGGAAAGCAGCATAGAATGGCTCAAGTGTTGGGCCCCTACACCTATGTTGGAGACCTGGAAGAAGGTCCCAGCTCCTGGCTTCAGCCCAGCCAAGTCCCAGCCATTGAAGCTATTTAAGGAGTAAAATAGCGGATGGAAGATATCTCCCTCTCTCTCTTTCCCCCGACCCTACCCTTCAAATAAATAAAATAAACCTTAAAAAAAAAAAAAAAAAAAAAGCAACAAGGTAAAGAATGAACCTATATAATACAAAAGTTTATTATATGACAGATACATGGTACACAGATATTTTATTCTTTAAAAAGATTTTTAAAAACATTTTATTTATTTGAAAGGAAGAGTTAGAAAAAGGGGCTGGCACTGTGGTGTGGTGGGCTGAGCCTCCTCTTGCAGCACTGGCATCCCACATGTCCCGGTTTGTGTCCCAGCTGCTCCTCTTCCGACCCAGCTCTCTGCCACGGCCTGGGAGGGCAGCAGAAGATGGCCCAAGTGTTTGGGCCCTTGCATTGTCATGGGAGACCTGGAGGAAGCTCCTGGCTCCTAATGGCCAATTCCGGCCATTGTGGCCATTTGGGGGAGTGAGCCAGAAAATGAAAAATCTTTCTGTCTCTTCCTCTGTCTGTAACTCTGCCTCTCAAATAAATAGGAAGGAAGAGAGGGAGGGAGGGAGGGAAGGAGGGAAAAGTCAATCTTCCACCTGCTGGTTCACTCCCCAAGTGGCTGCAGCAGCCAGGTCCAGGCCACACTAAAGCCAGGAGCCTGGAACTCCACCCGTGTCTTGAACACGGGTACAGGGGCCCAAGCACTGGAGCCATCTTCTGCTGTATTCACAGATGCATTAGCAGGGAAGGGAGTTGGACTGGAAGTGGAGCAACTGGAACTCATATGGGCAATTCACCCACTGTGCCGCAATGCCGGTCCCAGTAGGTAGATAGATAATTCAGTAGATGTGCTGCCCAAGCAAGTACAAGGTAGGTATTTTAAATGTTAGTACTCATACAACTCCAGGAGACTGTTCCCCCTCCCAACTGAACATGAAACAGTGAGTGTTTCCAAGAGGTAACTGTGTTTATAAAGTTTCAGTTTAGACTGACTAGCTTTAGTTGTTCAGGATGCTTCCACAGTCAATGTTCAATAGAATGGTACCAGAAAGGGAAAGGGAGGGATCTCCTAGCAAGTTCTCTGTATTCGTGTCTGCACATGGAAACATGACCAGAAGTAGCACACTGCTCTAGAGGTCATTATAAATTTTAGTTACTTCAAGTATCCCATCAAGAAAATTCTACTTACTAATATGGCTTCTTCCAGTGGCTAGCTAAAAAGATATTAGGTAGCTATTTACCTCTAATGGGACTTTATTTTAGAAAGCAAAATCAACACTGAGGTTTATATGGTATAAGAATAAATTATAACTTACTGCTGGTGCTCCAGAAGGGAAGCCATCTTTCTCTGAATATGAAAGAGGAAACAATCAGAAAATAATGTTAACAATTCAAGAAATAAAATATTTATATGACTAAAAAATAAAAAGCAAGTGAGGTAGTCTTAAACTGGCTTCATTTTAGGTTGAAAAACTCAAGCAAAATAAAAAAACCAGTACTTGAACAAGAATTTATTTAAGATTGAGCTGATATATCTCAAATCCTAATGGAACTCTGAATTTACCAAAAATCACAGAATTGTGTACTTGAAATGGACAGATTTTGACCTGTAACTTATTTCTTAATAGTTATTAAAATTTATTTGAAACTATATCTCCCAGTGTGTATTCATCAAAACAAAATAAATTTATTGATAAAGAAACTATCTCCAGAAAACTTCCTACTGAAGAACTTACTAAAGTCATCATTCAAACAATGGCATTTGTGTAAAGTAAAACTCTAAGTTTTCTGTTTCCTTCTGAAAAATCCCTCTGAAGACTAATGAGTTTATTCACATACTCAACAACACATGTAAACAATCTACCATTTACTGGTTAAACATTGTTTTTTAAAAATTACTAACATTGGGGTCAGTGATGTGGTGTAGTATGTTAAGCCTCCGCCTGTGGTGTCAGCATCCCATGTGGGCACTGGTTCAAGTCCCAGCTGCTCCTCTTCCAGTCCATCTTTCTACTGACAGCCTGGGAAAGCAGTGGAAGACGGCCCAAGTCCTTGGGCCCCTGTACCTGCGTGGGAGACCTGGAAGAAACTCCTGGCTCCTGGCTTTGGATCAGCTCAGCTCTGGCCATTGTGGCCATTTGGTGAGTGAATCAGTGAATCAGTGAATAAAGACCTCTCTTTATGTCTCCCTGTCTGTGTAACTCTGCCTATCAAATAAATAAATAAATCTTTTTAAAAAAATTATTAAATTACACAGATTTACTGTCCGACACAAAGGTTCTAAAGGCAAGTCTAGTATTTTCCTAAGGACATACTAAAGTGAAAAAGGTCAATACCACTTGTAAAGAAGTCTATCTCTTCTTGAGAATAGCCCTTATTTCTGCAGGGATGCAAACATATTAAGCACAATTAACTCGAACCACATGTTATGACTTTGGCTCAATTGTTTTAAAAATTAGATGTATGGGGGCAGGTGATTGGTCTAGCTGTTAAGACAACCATGTCCCACACTGGAATACTGGGTTTGATTCCTGGCTTTGGCTTCTATCACTAGCCCCTGCCAATGAAGACTTGGTGTGGCCACAGTGATGGCTCAAGTAATTGGGTTCCTGCCACCCAGGTAGAAGACCTGAATGGAGTTCACAGTTCTTGCCTCTGGCTCAGCTCTGGCTATTGTGGGCATTTTGCGAGTGAATCACTGGAATGAACTGTCTTGTCTGTCTGTCTGTCTCTCAAAATCTAAAAAGAAAACAAAACTGCATGCATGGTTTCAGAGAGAGAGCAGCACACTAAATGACATCCTGTGGACATACTTAACAAAATTCACAGAGGCTAAAAAGGCAAACAATTTTCTTTAACCAATAAACTGCAAGAAAAGACAGAGTAAGAACTAGCATGGGGCCGGCACTGTGGCAAAGCAGGTAAAGCCACTGCCTGCAGTGCCAGCATCCCATATGGGCACCGGTTCATGTCCCGGCTGCTCCACTTTCAATCCAGCTCTCTGCTATGGTTTGGGAAAGCAGTGGAGGATGGACTGAGTCCTTGGGCCCCTGCACCCACATGGGAGACCCGGAAGACCTCCTGGCTCCTGGCTTCAGATTGGCACAGCTCTAGCCGTTGCAGCTATTTGGAGAGCGACCCAGCAGATGGAGACCTCTGTCTCTGTCTCTCTCTCTCCCCCTCTCTCTGCCTCTATCTCTGCTTCTCTGTAACTCTGCCTTCTAAATAAATAAATAAGTCAAAAACAAACAAACAAACAAACCAACAACAACAACCACCACCACCTAGCATGACGGACTGAAGCCTAAAAATAAAACAAAGGTGAAGACGTCAACCAACCAATTTGCTTTTAAAAACCTATTACACTCCAATTCTTACGTGAAACTGCAACTCTGAGGCATAAGTCCTTTCAGTGCTAATGCTTAATTATATTTTACATATTTATATGACTGATGAGTTTCAATTTTTGAGTAAACACTTTTTTACTTTGAGTCTGTTCATTTATATAGTGAAATAGCTTTCCTTCTATCCCACTAAAAATAAATTTATTTCTAACATGAACGTGTCTACAATTTGCTTTCTGCTTCTATGGCTGGAAGTTGTTCAAAAGCAGCAAGGAGAAAAAAACAAACTAAAAGAAACAGAAAGCCAACACATCTATTAACTCCACTTCTGGCACAGCTATGAGATTAATATGATCTTGGAGCTGCCCTAATCAATTTACAAAGGCAAAATCTGTGCTGGGGGGAAAAGTGGGGATAAAAACCATAGTTTGGCTTTTCATTTTTGTACAAGTTGTCTTTTAATCAAGAAGTGGCTGGCATTCTCTGTGTCACTCTGTCGTTTGCAGCGTCTGCCGTCTTACCCGGAGGAGTGAAGCTCAGGTACTTCTGCTTCACGGTGTTGGAGTCATAGAACTTGAGCACGTCCAGCACTGCCTGTGGGTTCTTCTTCTGCTCGAGCTTGGTGATGTTGGACGTCTGCAGCAGGCGTGCCCACTGCTCCGGCATGCCCTGGCAAAGAGACACGCAGCTACTCCCCTGGATCCGAACGGCTCTAACACAACGAGCTTCCAGAGATAGATGACAAAATACAGGGGGAAAAAATCTACACAACTGCAGGTTTGATGAAATTTTCTATATTTAGTAGAATCATAATGAATACACTCAGCTCCCTAGGACAAACGATACATCCACCCGCTAAGAGGCAAAAAGCAGTAAGAAGCAGTCATGGACAGAAAAGCTAACTTGGAACTTAATTCTGAAGACAAAGGTCTGAGACTGCTGTAATGCTATCAACGCGCTGTGACTAAGGACACTCACGGTGAATTCTCCAGTAACAGCATCGAAACCGACGTGGATGGTGTGCTCAAAATCAGAGGGAGGAGAAATCTCTGGTCGTTCTTTTTCTTTCTTTTTACTTCCTAGAGGACATTAAAAAAAAAAAATCAGCCTATTCAAAGTTAATGAAGGCACTTTTACATACATTTTTTCCTAAAACAGATTAGGAACAAAATTACTAGACACAGATTTCCCCCTCCAAACAGTGGCTTGATAGGAAACAGGAGAATATGGCAGAGGCGGGGAAGAGCAGTCCGTGAAGGGCCCTGACAGAGGCACATGGACCAGCACCAGGCCTGCACAAAAGGGTGTAAGGCACTGGAGACCACCACTAAGAGCACTGGCTCTCCCACAAATAGCAGCCCACAGCTCAGCAACTGAGCAAGCTGGATCAAGTCCGATTTCCATCCAGTCATGTTAACCTAGACAGTAAACCGTCCACTGCTATGACTGTGTGTACCCTGTGAAGACAAGCAGTTGACAAAGGCCACCACTGACTTTTTTGCACAACACTATTCGTTCCTTTTTATTGGAGTTAACAGCTGCCCCATTTAAAAACTGCCCAGTATTTCTACAGCCCTACAGTAAACTATTTTTGCAACATTTCTGCCACACCAATGGTTATACTCTCTGGATTTGGTTTCTGGCACACAAGATGCTGCTTGGGATAGTCACTTGGGACACCCTCGTCCCATTGGGAGTGCCTGGATTCAAGTCCCAGCTCTGCTTCTAGCTGTTTCCTACTAATGCGCAACCTAGAATACCTAGACTGAGTTTCCAGCTACCAGCTTCAAGCTGCTAGTTGTAGGTATTCAGGAGTAAACCAGTAGATGGGAGCTCTGTCTGCCTCTTCAACGGATAAAGTAAAAAATAAATAAAATATCAAAAGAATTAAAATTTTCAGTAAATTCAAATACATTAGCTCCCTCCTCCCCAAACTCTAACCTGCAGGAGTTGATGTCTGTGCTTCTTGACAAGCTACTGCCCTGATGCCCCTTCACTTTCACCCTGTGCTGGAGTCTATTTTCTGGTTCTGTTATTTTCCTGTTTCATCTCTGTGTTTCAACAGGTAGTTTCTCTCTCTCTCCTGCTATATATGTTGAAAACGGGTTTTTTTCCTTAGAATTTCCAGTGTTGCAAAGACCAACGCTGTTGCAGCCATCTGGGGAGTGAACCAGCAGATGGAAGACCTCTCTCTCTGCCTCTCTTTCTCTTTCTGTGTAACTCTAACTTTCAAGTAAATAAATAGATCTTAAAAAAAAAATAAATAAAAGAATGAGCTTATAAATGTATACACAAAGAGTGCTAGGGTTTTCATTAAGATTACACTGAATCTATATAATCTATTGAGGGAGAAGTGAGAAACAATTCATTTTCAAAAATGTATTTATTTGAAAGGCAGTGTGACAGCAAAAACCAGAGCCCAAACCAGCCAGGGCTGGACCAGGCCAAAGTCAGAAGCCAGAAACTTCATCTAGGTCCCCACCATGGGTGGCAGGAACACAAAAAACATGAACCATCATCTACTGTTTCTCAAGCATATTAGCAGAGGGCTGGATCAGAAGCAGAGTGGTCAGGACTCCAATAAGATGGGATTTAGGCATTTCAAGCAGAGGCTTAACCTGCTATGCCACAACACCTGCCCTTGATTTCTTTTCTAAGATTTATTTGAAAGACAGAGTTACAGAGAAAGGCAGAGACAGACAGATGGGGGAAGGGAGGGAGAGGGAGAGGGAGAGGGAAAGAGGGAAAGAGGGGGAGAGAGAGAGAGAGAGAGAGAGAGAGAGAGAGAGAGAGAGAGAGAGGTCTTCCATCACTAGTTCACTCCCCAAATGGCTGCAACGGCCAGAGCTGAGCTGATACGAAGCCAGGAACCAGGAGACTCCAGGTCTCCCACGTTAGTAAGTGGATTGGAAGTGAAGCAGTCAGGACTCGAACCGGCACCCTTATGGGATGTCAGTGCTGCAGGCTGAGGCTTTAACCTGCTGTGCCACAGCACTGGCCCCTCTCCCTGATTTCTTAACACCACCAAGTCTTTTGATCCACAACAAAAGGGAATTTCTCCAATATTTGGGTCTTTAATCAGTGTAGAGAGTGCAGATCTGTGACTGCTTTCAGTATTCCCCAATGTTTGATGCAACTACTAACAGAATATAGTCATAAAATTTCAATTCCAATAATTCACTGCTGGCAAACAGATACAGCTGATTCTTGAATACTGATTTTTTTTTTTTTTTTTAAGATTTTATTTGAGAGATAAAGTTACAGAGACAGGGAAAGACAGAGAAAGGTCTTCCATCTGATGATTCACACCCCAAATGGCCACAACCAGCCATTCAAAGCCTGGAGCTTCTTCTGGGTCTCCCATGTGGTGCAAGGGCTCAGGTACTTGGACCATCTTCTATTGCCTTCCCAGGCCATAGCAGAGAGCTGGATCGAAAGTGGAGCAGGGGCCGGCGCTGTGGCTCAGCAGGTTAACACCTTGCCCTTCAGTGCCCGCATCCCATATGGGCACCAGCTATAGTCCTGGCTGCTCCTCTTCCGATCCGGCTCTCTACAGTGGCCTGGGAAAGCAGCAGAAGATGGCCCAAGTTCTTGGGCCCCTGCACCCGCATGGGATACCCGGAAGAAGCTCCTGGCTCCTGATCGGCATGGTTCCGGCCATTGCAGCCAACTGGGGAGTGAACCATCGGATGGAAGACCTCTCTTTCTCTCTGCCTCTCCTTCTCTCTCTGTGTAACTCTGACTTTCAAATAAAACAAATAAATAAATAAATCTTGGAGGAAGAGACGAGGAGAGAAATGGAAATGCAGAGCAGCCAGGACACAAACCTGCCCCAATATGGGATGCCAGCACTCAGGCGGAGGCTTAGCCTACTCTGCCACAGCACCAGCACCCTTGAATATCCACCTTATAACCTGAAACCTACTATACTTATTTCAGTTGTATTTTTGATATTACAGAATTTTCTATAAAAATTCAATCATGTTGCTTTACTTCTTACTTTGCAACCTGGGTTTCTTTTACTTCCTTTACTGCACTGGCAAGAACCTCTAGTACACTGTTGAATAAAAGCAGTAAGAACAGAAACCTGTTTTTTCTTTCCTGATCCAACGGGAAAGTCTTTTTAAAAAAAAAAAAAAAACAAACTGTTTAATGCCACTGATAAATTTTTCAAAAATGTCCTTTAATTAGGACACATGGTGAACATATTAGACATGGATATTGGGGGCCAGCATTATAGCATAGCATAGCAGGTTAAGCCACTTGCAATGCCTATATCCCATATCAGAGTGTGGGTTTGAGTCGCAAGTACTCTACTTCTGATCCACCTTCCTGTTAATATGTGGGAAGGCAGTTGATGACAGCTGAAGTGTTTGGGCCCTTGTTACTCACTTGGGAGACCTAGATGGAATTCTGGGCTACTGGCTTCAGCCTGACCAGTCCTGGCTTTTGCAAGCATTTGGGGATGTGAATCTAGGATGGAAGCTCTTTCTTTCTGACTTTCAAATAAATAAATTAAAAAATTAAACACAGAGAAATGGATATTGTACTTTGTCAAATATTTTTCTATATTTATTGAGATGGATTTATGGCTTATTCCTTTAATTCTGTTAACATGGTGAATTATAATGATTCATTTTGAAACGTTGAACCAACCCATATTCCTAATATGAAATCCACTTAATCATGATGTATTATTCTTCTAATACATTGGTGGAATCCAACTGCTAAACTCTTGCTAAGACTCCACAGGTACATTCAAGAGGTGCTCATGTTCACAAGATGTACAGCTTTCTTTTCTTGTAATGTCTTTGATTTGGGTATTCAAATCAAAGGTAAAGTTGGTCTCCTAAAACAGTGTGGGAAGCACTGCCTACTATTCAATTTCCTTCAAGTTCTGTGTAGAATTGGAAATATTTCTTTCTTTTTTTTTTTTTTTTGACAAGCAGAGTTAGACAGTGAGAGAGAGAGACAGAGAGAAAAGTCTTTCTCCCGTTGGATCACCCCTCAAATGGCTGCTACGGTCAGTGCGCTGCGCCGATCCAAAGCCAGGAGCCAGGTGCTTCCTCCTGGTCTCCCATGTGGTGCAGGACCCAAGGACTTGGGCCATCCTCCACTGCCTTCCCGGGCCACAGCAGAGAGCTGGCCTGGAAGAGGGCCAACCGGGACAGAATCCGGCACCCCGACCGGGACTAGAACCCAAGTGCCAGCGCTGCAGGCGGAGGATTAGCCTAGTGAGCCGCAGTGCCAGCCCAATATTTCTTCCTTAAACATTTCATAGAATTCACCAATGAAGCTAGGTAGATATGAATTTTCTTTGTGGCAAGGTTTTTAGTTACAAACTAAGTTTTTACAAGAGATACAGAACATTTCTTCTTAAGTTTTAGAAATTTGTGTCTTTTAAGAAAATATTCCATTAGGGCTGGCGATGTGGCCTAGTGGGTAAAGCCAATGCCTACAGTGCCAGCATCCCATACGGGCACTGTTTTGAGTCCTGGCTGCTCCACTTCTGATCCAGCTCTTTACTATGGCCTGGGAAAGCAGAAGAAGATGGCCCCAGTCCTTGGGCCCTGCATCTGCATGGGAGGCCTGGAAAAAGCTCCTGGCTCCTGGCTTCAGGTTGGCCCAGCTCCAGCCCTTGAGCCATTTGGGGAGTGAACCAGTAGATGGAAGACCTCTTTCTCTCTGCCTCTGCCTCTCTGTAACTCTGCCTTTCAAATAAATAAAACATTCCATTTTAGCTAGCTTATTTGTTTTTGATTTATTATTTTTAATATCTATAAAACTCTGGAGAGATGCTACCTTTCAGATTCTGATATTGGTAATTTGTGTCTTTTTTTTCCCCACCAGTCTGGCTTATCATTTTGATATTCTCAATGAATTAGGATTTGGTTTCATTGAATCAAGCTTACAAATATTGATTTTCTAAAACAAAAATGTTATCTTTACTTATCTGAAATGCAAAGAGACAGAGAAATAGTAACAGAGAGATAAAAACAGTGAGAACAAATAACTTCCATTAGTTGGTTCACTCCAAAATCCTTCTGACAGCCAGGGCTGGACCAAGCAGACCAGGCAG